GACAGGGGAAAACATCAACTTTATTTTTAGAAATGAATAGGCTTTTGTGTCTGTGGCCTTGGATATGCATTTGCCAAGAGACTTAATGGGATATCAAAAAAATAAAAATAAAATTTAAAAGGATTAGATGCAAATCTGCTTCCAGGAGCCTCATGCTAAGTACAGCTCTCTTGGATGTTTAGTCTTCCCAACTATAAAATGGGGCAGATGCCGGGCGTGGTGGCGCACGCCTGTAATCCCAGCACTCGGGAGGCTGAGGCAGGAGGATCATTGCAAGTTCGAGACCAGCCTGAGTTACAAGATGAGCTCCAGGCCAGCCTGAACTGCATAGAGAGACCCTGTCTCAAAAAGACAAAAAAAATAAATAAATAAAAATAAAATAAAATAAAATGGGGCAATAGTGTCTACCCCTGCCCCCCAACGGGGCTGTGCCGAGGATCAAAGGAGACCACAGAGTCCTCTAAAACGTCATGGGCTCAGCTCTGCTCCTGTGCACCACCAGAGTCAGGCATGACTCAGTTACTTCCAAAGAGAAGGACTAAGGGCAGCTGGCCAGCTTTTCGAGCAAAGAGCTTTATAATGGTTTACAGGAAGATGCTGGACTCCCAAATACCTGCTCTGATCTGCCCAGGCTGGACAGCGGAGGCACACACTGCACATAAAACAGCTGCTGCAAGCAACACCTTGGCAAATGGGGCCTCTGATTAGGCAGATGTCTTGGCCCTGCCCTGAACCTCCTCAGTTCCAGGCCCAATGAGAAGATGAGTCATGATCCACAAAATGACCTCACTGGCCCCTGGGAGGTGTCAGGAAAGAACACACCTTTAAGACTTTCAGGAGTCCTCAGGCTGCCAGGTAAGTGAGGCTGCTGGAGGAGAAATAAACTCATCCTCCAGCACTGGATCTCGCAGAGGGGCCAGTTCAACAGGTTCTCCAGACATCGAGCCACCTCTCCCGTGGGTCCAGCAACCTACTCACTTTATGCAACACGGACAGCAGCTCTCTAGGAGAATTCAAGTTTGTTGGGTTGGTGCATGTCCAGGTGGCAGAACATATTTAGGAGTCTCTCTGAAAGGGTCCCCCTTGCACAATTTTTTTTTTGTTTTTTGTCTTTTTGGACAGGGTCTCGTTATGCAGTTCAGGCTGGCCTTGAGCTCACTTTGTAGCCCAGGCAGGTCTCAGACTCCAACAGTCCTCCTGTCTCAGCCTCCCGACTTGCACAATTTTAGTATCTCCCCATGGTGCATTCAGCCGGCTCCTCAAGGCAGCCTGCTAGGTGGACACACACCCACTCACCCAGCGTCCAGCTGGAAGGACAGGGGCCCTGGATGTACTCGGCCTGGCCATGTCTGACTCACTGAATGAGTCACATCAAATCTCACTTCCTCTTCTCGGCTTAAAAACCGTGGACACAAAGGACAGGCTTCCTCTTTCCCTTTAATGACTTGTCCCTCCATCTCTCTCTGAGTTCTATGTTAGGAAAACCCTGGTGGGCCACAACTTGGCAACTTTTTAAAAAGTAACTTTATTGGTACACTTTTGATATACACGATGGTCACGTTTCATTGCAGGAAGTTTGTACCTGAACATGATATATCTTGACTCTTCTTTTTCCCCGTTCGCCTCCTCCCTCTGCAACCCCTCTTCACCTCCCCATTTACAAAAGCTTTGTTTCCATTTTTTCCTCCTGCTCGCTTTTTTCCCTTCCTTCCCTTCCCCTTCCTCTTCCCTTGTTCCCTTTCCCATAATGAACACTTTCTTCCTACTTCCCAATATCTATGATTCACTTTGATCCTTATTTACCCTTTCAGTTTCTCACATAAGAGAAACAATACATTATTTAAACATGTGTCCAATTTACTTCACTTGGAGTATAGTTTCAAGGCGCATCCATTTACCTAGAAATGTCTCAAGTTTATTCTTCTTTATGGTAGAGCAGTATTCCATTGAAAACCACATCTTTATCCATTCATTTGTTGATGGGCATGTGGGCTGTTTCCAAGATTTAGCTATTACAAACTGTGCTTCTATAAACATAGGTTTACACAAACTGCTATGGTATGATGCTTTTAACTTTATGGGGGAAGATACCAAGAAGGGAAATAACTGGATCAAAGGGAACCTCTAGGTTTAGTCTTTTGAGGAACCCCCACACTATTTCTACAGTGGTTGTATCAGTCTACACTCCCACCAACAGAGAAAGGTTCTTTTTCCCCTAGAGCACCCCCAAGCATTTGTTACTGGTTGATTTCTTGATGATAGCTACTCTTTCTGGAGTGAGATGGAATCTCTGTGTTGTTTTAATTTGTAGCTCTCAAATGACCAGTGATTTCAAACATTTTTCCATATATTTATTTGCTGTTTTTACTTCTTCATCTGAGAAGTATCTATTCATTTCAGATGCCCACTTTTGGACTGGGTCTTTAAATTTGAAGAATCTGATTTTTAAAGTTCTTTATACATTCTAGATATTAGTCCTTTGTCTGAGGAATCATTGGTGAAAATTTTTTCCATTCTGTGGGTTTTCTCTTCACTCTGTTGACTTTTTTTTTTTTTTTTTCTGTGCAAAAGCTTTTTAATGAAGTCCCAGCTGGTTCTTTTGTAATATTTCCTGTGTGATCGGGGTTTTGTTCATAAAGTTACCCATACTTACATCCCCAAGAGTTTTACCCATTGTATTTTCCAGCAGATTTTGTGTTTCTGTTTTAATACTTAGATCTTTGATCCATTTTGACTTTAGCTTAGAGCATGATGAGAGATATGAGTGTAGTTTTATTTTAGCCTTTGGCATGTGGAAAGCCAGTTGTCCCAACACCGCTTATTAAAGAGGCAATCTTTCTTCCAGTGAAGGTGTTTGGCTCCTAGTTTGGACAACTGGGCAGTTTAGATGCAGTGTTTCTTGCTAGCTTGGAAATGTCCTTCCCTTTAACCCTGTGCACTAAGGGTCCACAGATAAGCCTTGTGATTTCCAGACTCAGGAAGCAGGACTGTGAGTGCTGTTGGTGCTCCCTGACCCCCAGCAGTCAGGCAGGTATGACTGCTGCTGTCACCAGGCCCCCGATACCTGATCAACAGGGCCTGGGACACAGCGATCTTTTCCGTTCCCCATTAACTGGCACAGGGCGCTTCTGCGCTTGGGACTGTGTAACACTGGGGTCACATGTCCATGTTCAACCCATGCCTGTCACAGACCTTCCACGGGAAGGAGTCCGGCTCTAAGAACACCCAGGCATCCTCAGGTCATCCTAGGTCTCCCAGCACCACATGAACATGAAGATTTATAACCTGGGTGTTCTTTCCACCGTGAGGGATGACAGCCCTGGACGTCGGAGGCTAAGTCCAGGGCAAGTCCTCTCTCTGGGGCCCGCACTTCGCTTCCCATATTGTAGCAAGCACGGTTGAACTTTGCACTGTCCAGGTCCTGACAGCCTCTGGGCACTTGAGGGATCTCTGCTGCCCCACCTATAATAAGTTTTTAGCTGTTTATTTCTTTTTCTTTTTCTTTTTTTTAGGTGATTCTGGGGATCGAACCTCCGGCCTTGAGTATGCTGACCACATGTTCTACCACTGGGCCACATTTCCTGCTTTTTCCTTAGAGGAAACAAAGAGCACAGCCCCTCAGCAGCCCCGATCTGGACGATATCACAGAGACAATGGAGCTGGCTTTCTTCCTCTTGTGAACGACAGGCTCCTGGAGTTGTGGAGTCCAGACAGCCCACAAAGGAACTGGCAGGCCTGCCCCCTCCTTGGACTCCTGGAGTGAAGCGCAAGGCTTTGAGGCAGGCTCAGGGACTGGTGGGAGGAACCCCACTAAGAGGCTGAGTGTCCCCCACACCCCCGCTGGGAGCCATTCTCCCGGCGTCCCGAGGGATCCTGCCGCCTCCACATCCTCACAACTGGCTCAGACAAAGGGTTATTATGGGAGGATAAAAAATGTAACACACAGAGTCCTGTGTTCACACTTTCCCACAGTGACCATTTTTGAGGACAAAGCTAGAAACTTCTAGGCTGTGAAACCTGTTTGCTTTTGCCTCTTAGGCCTCGCTCTACCCTGACAGGATGACCGGGTTCCTCTCAGCCCTGTTGGTGACAGGTGACAGGAGTGCCTCCTGGTCTCGCTGGGATTTGTGGCCTTTGGAAGCAGGTGGCAGGCAGAAGACAGCCACTGTGGTTTTTGGTGGCCCACCAGGCACAGACGGAAAGGGTCGAGGACCTGGCAAGAGCAAGGTAAGCATGGCGACACCTAAGCTCACCGAAGGGGTCCGATGCTAAGAGTCCCGTACCCACAGCCTGTGGAGCCCTCGGATAAAATGTCTGTGCTCTGGTCTAACAAGGCGGAGGAAGTCACTTGTGCGCTGCTGATGGTGACTAGTGCCCTGGAGCGTAGGAGGGAGGGAGAAACTCCTCAACTGTGAAATGCAGTCTTCAGGGTCCCACTTCTGCTTTTTTTCCTGGTACCGGGAATCGAACTCACGACCTTGCTCTTGCCAGGCAGGCGCTGTGCCGCTGAGCTAAAATCCCCAGCCCCCACTTCTGCTTTCAGTTCCTCATTTGGCAATGAAGAGCTTGGTGAGCAGGACATTTTTCCAAGCATCTCTGAAGTTAGAATGCAAAACTCATGACCAAGAGAAAATTTCCCATTAGCTGTTTTCTAGGAGCTCACTTCTTTTTCCGGAAAGCTAGTGGTCGCTCCATAAGGGCTCGGGGCCTTTGGAAAGTGGGGTTCAGAAAGCCAGGCTGGGGCCTGCCTCTGCGGGGAGGACGGGCTCCCCTAAGGCCTCAGGCATCCCCAGGCCGCATTCCTAGGGAGGCCTGCCCTGGAGAGGATTCGGGGCAGCGCGCATCTGTCCACGCACAGGGCCCGGACTCCGCTCTGCGACCTCGCGTGTGACCCGGGTGGGGGCGGGAGTGGTGCCCGGGGCGGTCACGTGGCGGGCGGGGCGGGGGCAGCGGCGCGGGACGGCCCCGCCCCGAGGGAGTGTCCGGGCGCCACCTTAAGGGCGGCCGGCCAGGGTGCGGCGCGGGTCGGCCGGCGCGGGACGGACGGGCCGGGGCGAGCGCGGTTCGGTTCGGAGCGGAGCATGGCGCGGTGCGGGCCAGTGCGGCTGCTGCTCCTCTGGCTGCTGGCGGGCGCGGCGCAGGCCAGCCTCTACTTCCGCAGGGGCCAGACCTGCTATCGGCCCCTGCGCGGGGACCAGCTGTCGCAGTTGGGGCGCAGGTGGGCGCGTGGCCAAGCCTGGGGAGGGGAAGGCACATCCCCAGGGCTGGGCACACGCTTCCACCTTTGGGGGACTTTCTCTTTGGGGTTACAGGAGCCAAGGGGCCTGCCTGCCTAGACCTCCCAAGGTCACATCCCATGACCCCGTTTTTGGGGGGGTCACTTCACATCCTGGAGCAGCTAGGCTGGCCCCTCCTCTCTGGCCTGCGGGTCCTGCCCCTGAGCCCGGCCTTGCTCTGGAAGCACTCCTGCTCTCTCATTTGGGGGTGCCGCCATCACTTCCCCATTCTAAGAATGCAGGGTCTGCTGGTGCGAGGGGCTCAGGGAGTGACCGAGGCCGCACGCCCACATTTTAGGGAAAGGAGGAGAGCCATGGCCCTGGTGGAGGGTCCCAGCTGCCTCACAAACCCCAGCACTGATTTTGGTGGTACTGGTCTCTTCCCAGGACATATCCCCGGCCGCATGAATACCTGTCCACATCGGATCTTCCTAAGACCTGGGACTGGCGCAACATGGATGGTGTCAATTATGCCAGCGTCACCAGGAATCAGCACATCCCCCAGTACTGCGGCTCCTGCTGGGCCCACGGCAGCACTAGTGCAATGGCAGGTGGGTGACCTGGGCCCAGGGCCTCATGATAGGCCCTGCTCTGCACTGGTACCATGACTGCCAGCTGACTGTGGGCTCAGAAGGCCTCTCCTGGCTAGCGCCAGGTCAGCACAGGCTGCCACCACCCCTGGGGTCCAGGGGCCTGTGGTTCTCTGCCAGGGTTCATCCTGGGCCTTGGCCTCCTGCCAAAGGGACACAACTGGGGCATTCTGAGGGTCTCCTCTGTAGCCTCCCCTGACAAGGCAAGAAAGACAGGCAGGAACGGGGCTGAGGCTAAGGGACGAGTAGCTTCCTGGTTGCCCTCTCTCTCTCTCAGATCTTGTGACTTCAGCCATTGGGATGGAACCAGAAATGCACAATCACTGAGCCCCACTCAGTCCTTGGCGGTAGGGAAGTGAAAGTCCTTCTCAGCAGCAGTTAAAGGTTAAGACCGGTACAGTCTTGGGCTTGAGTAAGGGCTGCAGGATGTGGCTCCAGCCTTATCTCTTCACTGTCCCCATTCTGGCCAGTTTCCTTGTCTGGACCTTGATCTGGTGGGAGGGCAGGGAGGAAGGGGAATCTGGGGCCACGCCCACCTGAGTGCCTCTCTGCTTTGGCCCGGGAGAGAAGGCAAAAACCCGGAAGCCCCAGGCTGTCTGCAGCATGTGGGACGGGTCCTGCTATCCCCACAGCTGCCCCTGGGGTCCAGGATCCAGAACTCCATCCTAGAAGGGACTGTCCTGGCCAGGAGTCAGGCCCAGGGAGGACAGTGCTGGCTCCTCCCCTGGTCTGGTGTCTCTCTGGCCAGGCCTGTTGTAGGCGTGGCCTGTGTTGAAAGGATTAGCAGCTGCACGAAAGCTTGTCAAGGCTCCAGGGCAGGAAGTGCCATGTATACCCTCATGTAAACCCCCAGCCACCACGATAGTGCTTAGTTCAAAAATGAGGAAACTGAGTCTCTGTGGGGGAGGTAGGGAGCCTTGGCCATGGTATGAGCAGCAGCTGGGATTCAAGCTCAGAAGCTTAGGGTCTGGAGTCCCGGGGAGGGCTCCTGTCTGGGGCTGGGGTCTGCATCCCAGAGCTGACCCGCTCTGGCTGTGGTGTCTGGCAGAGTCTCCTGGTGGAGGGCCTCTGTCTCTCTCTGGGGACTGGTGAGGGGCCCCTGAGGACCAAAGCCTTCAGGAAGGAGGAGGAGGGGGCAGGTGGGCTGAGACCGCAGTGACAGGGTCTGGCAGACCAAGCCAGGCAGGTGGTGGGGGTGGGACAGTGCTAGGCCCGTGGCCGGTAGGTGGCAGAGGGTCCAGGCAAAGTCCGAGCGAACACCCAGCCATGGCAGGGCTGGCATGGGGAAGTGGAAGCCTCCTCAGGATTGGGTGAGGATGACAGGAGGGTGGGAAAGGTCACCCGGGCCTGTGGAGGGAGTCGGGTGAGAAGATGCCCCTTTGTGGGAGACGGCAGTGTAGGAAGGAGACGGCTGCAGGCCCTGGGAAGGCCCATCTCAAATGGGCGCTGAGCCTTGGCCACGTGTCAGCCCAACATTTCTGGAGTAGAATCTCTCTCCAGGCAAAAGGCACTTCTCTCTTTCTCCTGAAAGCTCTGACACTTAATTCAGCCGCGGCCAAGGCCCGCGCTTCCTCTTTCACTGAGAAGACAGAAGCCACCAGAGGGGTCTTCCATCTGCCTGCCAGGGCAGCAGTGGGGTCAGAGTTCTTCTTCCTCCCTGTCCCTAGGGAGCAAGCATCCAAGGCCCTCACAGAGGCCACCTTTCCTGTCACAATCCGCATCCTCCACCTCTCAGGGAAGCCCCTCCCACAACAAAAGTACCTCAGTCCCACCCAGCCTCCCCCACGCCACTTCCAGAGTCTCCCTCTTCCTGTTTCTCCTCTCCCTCCTTGAGCCCGTGCTGGCCTCACACTGCCACTCCTGCCGTGGTCAGGGGACCGCCAGGGCGCGGGGGCGGAGCTCATGGCCAGGCCTCCTTGAGGGCTCTACTCAGCCCAATCCCCCTGAAAAGCAGCCCCATCTCCCCATACTGCACTCACCTGCTGCTGCCTCCCCAGCTGTCCTTTCCTCTCTCCTGTGCTGCCCCTGGTCATCACCTGCCTTCTGAGTGTCAGCTTCCCAGGTCCCACTTCCAGCCAGAAGCATTTGGGTGCAAGTGGCTCGTCCCGCCCACGACTGCCACGCCCTCCAGTCCTCCTGGTCATCCTGGCTGATTCTTGGGCAGAAGACTTTCTGCCCACTGTCCTTGCTGCAGCTGGCCCCAGCGCCTCTCCCCTTACCCTCATGGCTCTCTGTTCCTTGGATGGACGTGCCCTTAGACAGCCTGTGTCAATGATAGTTCACTGTCTGTATTCTCTCCCTGTGTGTCCCGTTGTAGCCCTTCGTACTCTGTCCATTCCAGTGGCCTTCCACTGGCGGTGTGAGCCCCGCGAGGTAGAGCTGTGATCTGCTTTTTCCCACTGTGGACCCAGTGCACAGCGCGGTGCTCAGCATGCAGCAGGTGTGAAGAGAACTCTGCTGACTACACCTGCAATCCCAGCTACTCAGATGCCTGAGGCAGGAGGATTGCAAAGTTGAGGTCAGCCTGCGCACCTTAGCAAAACCCCATCTCAACTTTTTTTTTTTTTTACAAAAAGTATAGTGCTTGGTTAGCATGTTTGAGGCCCTGATTTCAATAAGTACCAGAAAAAAGAAAAGAGAATGATCCACTGATGAACCAGGAAGATGTGGTGGGGTGGAAGTGTTTGGCTTGCAGGCTCAGCCATGGGAAGAAGTCTGGGACCCCTCCAACCCACTGGTCCAGTTGGGACTGGGTGCCCAAGGCGGTACCTGGTGGAGAGCCAGGCCTGAAACCATCCAGTCAGGCATTGCCACTGGCCATGGCCACTGGGACCTGGAGGGAGAGAGTCAGTGACAGAACAGAAGGGCCCTGCCGGGGCTGGACACAGCTGAGATGGCCGGGGAAAGAGATGCTTCCACTCTGCTGACCAGCACTGGGAGGGGTCAGGGCAGATGAAGCTGGAGAAGTGGTTAGCACTGGCACCATAGAGATAGGGACCTTGAGAAGAGCAAGTTGGGCAGTGTTGCAAGGTAAGTATTTGGAAAGGAGACATGCACATGGTGAGCGGGCATCTGTCTTTCATTTCGGAGTCGGGTGGGGGTAGGTGAGGGGCCCCGGGCTGTGTTGCACAGTAGGTCTGAGTGTGTGCCAGAGGGAAGGAAGGGGATGCAGGCTAGGAGAGGGCTGCCCCAGGTTGGAGGCGTTGAGAGAGAGAAGGGGTGCTGCAGGCCTGGGGTGGGTGCCGGGATGTGTTTTGTGACACTGTCCCAGCCAGTGGAGAGCAAGATGGTCCCGGGTTGGGTAGGACTGGCAAGCAGGCCTGGATCCCCTTCTAGGAAGAAGTAGATCAGTTGGGCGCTGGTGGGTGCCATGGCTGTCCTTGGTCATCTCGGGCTGCCCCTCAGCCAGTGTGGCATGGCCCTCTGCATCCCTCCATGTGTTCAGGGACTGGATCCTCACTGGCCTTCCCCAGCTCCCTGGAGAGCAACTGACCCCTGACTTGTCCATTGCACTCCCTGGGCTGCACTTGTGCACGGAGGTGCTTGCCTCAGCCCTCTCTGCAGGGGCCCACCCTGCCTTGCATCGCCATCCTGCGGTCCTCCAGCAGGTGCTTCTTGGGAACCCACAGAGCTGGCCCCATCTCATGCTACTTGTAACCAGGTGGTGCAGGCAGAAACCACAGGGCCCAAGATGGGCCAGGGTAGGCTCCAGAGCGCCATGGCTGAGGGCTGTGTGGGGGAAGGGCCGCCAGAGAGCTGTGAGCTGGAGGCTGGAGCCAGGAGGGCGGGTGGGTCCCTGTGGCTTACCATGGATGCCCAGTGTCACCAGGGGAAGTGGTGGTGGTGCTGACCAGGGTGGCGCTGACCAGGGTGCTGACCATGGCAGATCGCATCAACATCAAGAGGAAAGGTGCATGGCCTTCTGCCCTGCTGTCAGTGCAACACGTCATTGACTGCGGCGACGCAGGCAGCTGTGAGGGGGGCAGTGACCTGCTGGTGTGGAAGTACGCCCACGAGCACGGCATCCCTGATGAGACCTGTAACAACTACCAGGCCAAGGACCAAGGTAGGTCCTCTGACCCTTCACCTCCTCCTCCAAGGACAGGGTGGCCATGAGCCCAGGCCACCCCCCAGCCTTGCACTCTTTACCCCATGGCTGGGACACAAGGGAGGGAAGGCAGAGAAGGCAGGCTCCAGGGAGTGAGCCGCGGAGATCCACCTCCAGTCTTGCCCTGGGCCACCTTGAATGTGGTGGGGCTAGGGCAGAAAGCTGGAGCCCATGGGCCTTGTTGAAGCGAACAACCAAGGCTGGCATGGAAAGGTATCAGAAGAGCACTCGCCCATCTGCAGGCCTCCAGGTTTGGGGAAGGCCAGCCCAAGTGCCCTCTGTGGTTGGGCCTGCATGTGGCGTGTACGTGCTGACATTTGGCATTCTGGTAGCTTTAGGGGCTCTTTGTAGGGGAGAGGGGCACATGGCACTGTGGATGCAAAGGTCCATTTTCCAGGGGCTGGGTGCAGAGGGCAGGTGAGGGAGCTGGAAGCCAGCAGGCCCAACTGGAGCAGAACATGGGCCCGGCCCCTGCCCCGGTGACCCTGGGTCGAGAATGGATGGCCGGGAGTCCCTGTGGTTGCACATTCCCTTGAGGCTGCTACCTTGGAAACTGAAGGAAAGGAAAAGCCCAGACCCAAACCTGGAATTGGCAGCTTTCAGCCACTGGACCTCAGATCTCCCTCACAGCCAGATCGGAGAAGGCATCTGAGACAGGAGCAGGAAGGGAGGGCGGGACGGACCTGTGAAGGCGGCTGCAGCGCCCTGTCCACCTGAGTGGTGGAGGAGCCTTGGCACTGCCTGTGCCTGCAGGGTTTCTTCACCTGTCTCCTGGGCGTTACTGCAGTCTGGAAGTAACTCTGGAGCGGTTAAGTTCTTTGTGTGGTTGGGGGAACCCAGCGGGGTCATGAAACCCAGACCAGCGATGGTGAACCTTTTAGAGCTCTCAGTGTTGCCCAACAGCATGGATGCCAGAGTGGAGGGCCGTAGGGAAGGCTGGTAGATTGCCCTGTGGAACTGGGTGGGCCCTGGGGCCATGTCCACTCGAGTCCCAGACTGGTGGTGTCTGGCCAAGGCCAGGCCCCTGCAATCCTACCCCGCCTGACAGGTGGATAGAGCTCATCAGAAACCTGCTTGCAATAAACACTCTTGCCTGACAATTTGTTATTATCAAGTGTGGCCAAGATCCAGTTTTCCAGTTGTGCCGGGCACTTGGCCTTGGGTGTCTAAGGGACGAATTAACCAAAAACTTAATCCTCAAGGACTTTACTGTCCTGGGGGAGGACTCAGGCAGATATGTAACTGCAACAGAGGTAGTAACTGCACAACAGTAAAGACATGCTGGGGCCTGGGTAGGCCGGACAGGTAGAGGGAAGAATGATCCAGGGCCGAGAACACAGCAAGCAAGCCTGATAGCAAGATGATTTGTTAGTAGCGAATGAATGGTAGTCTAAATAGAAAAGTGGAGGGGATCAGGGTGTGCTTTGTTAAGGTGTACTTTGCAGAACAAAGGCGGTGCCTTTTCTTTTTCCCTTTCCCTTTTTCTTCTCCCTTCCTTCTTTCCTCCCTCCCTTCTTTCCTCTTTCCTTTCTTTCTCTTTTCTTTTTTTTAAATTTTATTTTAAAGAGTAAAAGAAGGATAACATAATAATAGGGGGGACTTAGCAAATTACAGACAAAATGGTAGGAAATTATCAATGGTTATCGTTTTATATATTGTTATCTACAAAATAGTTTCTCAGAAAAACAAATAGACGAATAATAGGGAGTTAGAGACAAAAGAGGTAGAAGATTATCAAGAGTTGTTGTACTATACCTTGGTATCTTCAAAGTGGCTTCTAAAGAAAATAAATAGAGCTATACATGACTGACCTATTGAAAAATCATTAACTATTCTCAATGGTTGTTGTAGGAAACACATAATAATAAATATACATCCATTTATGAAATAGGATAGGAACATTACAAACTTTACACAGTTATGGATAGATTAGTAGGAAAATATCAATGGCTGCTGTAGTACATGGTGGTATCTTCAAAGTGGTTTCTCAGGAAGACAGAGATATGCAAGAAGGATCTAATAAGTAGTTACAGCCTAAGGGTTGTCAAAAATAGCATATTACCTCCTCACCAGTGACTCCTTGCACTGAGGTATGATGGCTGGAAGGAAGGCCAGGATTGAAAAGAAGGACGGAGAGACTTGCACCTGTGCCTAGTAACAGGCTGTTTTCTTGTTCCTCCATAGTCATGATTACCCAGGACTCCTTGATGGAAATGACGGTCTGGCCAGAGGGAGAAGGCAGACCATGCCCCAAGCCCTCTCATTCCTGTTGGACTAACTGGTAGCATGGGTCTGAGCTCTGGGGCCTCCACCTCAGAGGGCAGACCGATCTCCAGTGGTCTCCTTTGCATCCAGGGCATGGCCCATGGGGCCTCTTAGGGCAGTTCCTCTTGAGGTGGCCTGGCTTTTAACAGTGGTAGCAGATGAATGCAGTTGTCGAGTTCTTCTTGGGGCCCCGGGAATCAGACCTGGGATCTGTTTCTCTTAGTGGTGCAGCAAAAGCAGCTGCTTTTTCTCGGTCTCTTTGTTTTCTCTCCTTGGCCTCCTTCTCATCATGGCTATAGAATACTGAGGAGGCAATTCTTACTAACATCTCAAGTGAGCTATCTGGGGTGAAAGCCATTCTTTGTAGCTTTTTCTCTCCAGCTTCCCATTGCTTTGGGACCCCACAACCAGTTAGTGTCCTCTCCCCAACTGTCAGCACAGGCAGCAGGAATCCTGCTGCAGACTTCTCCGGAGCTCCACCACAGCCTGTACTGTCAGGGGAAGAATGGCTTCCAATGAGTCTCTGCAGGTATTGTGCAAGGTCCTCCTCTTTTACAGCTTCCGAGTGGCTCTCGTGATCCCAGTCCACTAGACCTCTGACTCCGTGGGCTTAGTCTGCATTCTCATGTTCTCTGAGTCCTTGTTCAGCAGCAGCTCCTCCGCTGGCTCTGGACCTTTCTGGTTCTCAATGGCAGGAGCAAGAGTGGCCCGTTGTATGGCATGTATTCCCAGGGGTTGTTCAAAGTTTGAATGATTCACACACATCCGTGGGTGGGCAACTGCAGTCAGTGCATGGTGGGCCAATTGTGTCACTGTTTCTCTGTGTCATGATAGATCTCAATTGAGCGGTGGCTGCCGGCCTAACGGCCGGCGTGCAACAGCACTCGCCAGCGCCGCATGGCTCCCCATGCGCTGGGGGCCCACCCTCCAGGAGCCACCAGGCAGGAAGCTAGCCAGCCGGAAGACTGGCGCTCCCCACCTGTGGCTCCCTGTGCGCCGGAAGCCCTCCTTTCGGGGAACGACGAGGCCAGGAGTGAGTTGCCGGTCCGAAGACCCCAAAGACCGGCGCTCCCCGCCTGAGGCTCCCTGTGCGCTGGGGGCCCACCCTCTTTCCTTTCTTTCTCCTTCCTTGTTTCCTTTTTACCTCTCAAATCAAAATAACAAGCAAGTACGTATTTTTTTTAACCCAATGTATTGGCCTGTTTATTCACTAGCCAGCAATAGGGTCATCTTACTAAGTTTTAAAGATTTAATTACACTACATTTTCAGCTATAGAGAATTGTGAAAAGCTCCTTCTCCCGGCATATAAAGACAAGACAGCATGTAAAGAAGAGCAGGAACTTTAGAGTGCCTACTATGTGCTAGTTACTGTTTGCTTTCTTTCTCCCTCGGCCTGGGAAAGGCTTCTACCTCCTTTGCAGCTGACAGAAGTGTAATTAAACAGCACCTGATGGCAAGATGATTTGGTATTAGGGAATGAATGGGAGGCTGAATTAGAAAAGTGGAGAGGATCTGAGTGCACTTTGTTAACAGGTTAATGAGGACAGTCTCATGCCAACTTCTTGCTCTCCCCTAGAGTGTGACAAGTTCAACCAGTGTGGGACCTGCACCGAATTCAAAGAGTGCCACACCATCCAGAACTACACCCTCTGGAGAGTCGGCGACTACGGCTCCGTCTCGGGGAGGGAGAAGATGATGGCTGAGATCTACAAAAACGGTCCTATCAGGTGAGGAGACCCTGCCCACCACGGGGGGTGCCACCCGGTGAGGCCATGCCAAGGCGTGTGTGCAGGTGTGGGTTCCTGTGTGTCATTTTTGCTTTACTTCTGGCCAGTTTTACTTTCTTGGTGTGAGCGACAGCTCCCACATACCTTCACCTGTAAGAACTTCAGTTTTCTCAGAAGTCACCCTAAGCCTATCACTGGGCTGCGCCTGAGGCACTGTGTGGAATGTGCACGAGACGCCCCGGCTGCAGTGAGTACTTGGGTCACTGGGGCTGCCTCAGCAGGACGACGCCGAGTGTGGGAACAGCCAAGCCGAGTGCACCGTGTGTCGCACTGACGCATCCCTCCCTTCTTCCGGGTAAAGTGGGAATTCTGCTTGTTCACAGCTGTGGTATCATGGCAACAGAAAAGATGGGCAACTACACCGGAGGCATCTATGCCGAGTACCACGAGGACGCCTTCATCAACCATGTCATTTCCGTGGTTGGGTGGGATGTCAGCAGCGACGGCACCGAGTACTGGATTGTCCGGAATTCCTGGGGTGAACCATGGGTAAGACACTCTCTCAGGCCAGACTAGGAGTCCACCTTCTCCACCGGTGGCTGACGACTTGTGGCTGAGAACTGCAGCTTCCACCTTCTTGCGCTGGCCATTTCTCCCACACAGCAGGACAGACATCAGGCTAGATCCTCCCTCAGTGTACAGCTGTCAACATCTCATGCATTGTAGGGTGCCTCCAGCACCCCTAGCCCACAGTACTACCTGCCAGTAGTTTCTCCTGCAGCCCCTGTGTGAGCAGGCAAAACTGCTCAGCCTCCACTAAGCCCCCAGGGCAAAGGGGCCAGAGTGGCATCAGCTGCCTTGTCCTCGACAACCAGTTCCCACCTTCTCCTGTAGTTCTGGAGTCTCCTGAGTAATACTCATTTTTCAAGAATACTCTTTTGAGTTGGGCCGGAAATTCAGGGGAGATAAATGCCATAGTTCTGACTTTTAAAGCCTAGTATGAACCATTACTAGTTTTGAGACACAGAAATTCATTATTGTGAAATGGGGGAAAGTGGTAGATGCAGAAATTTAAATACCTACAGATGTCAGTATTAATAGGTGGATAAGTCAAGAGTCAACATGTTTTGTTAATTAGCTATCTGGACAGAGGGCTCTGATGTTAAATGGTCACCAACTGAAATACCTCACGGAGGATTATTTGCAAAGAGGGGTCATGGGAAAGGTGACGGGCAGTTGTGCAGGGTGTTGACACATGTCCTGCGGGGCTAGGCTAAAGGGCAGAGGCCCCGCGCAGAGCCTGGAGTGCAGGGGATGGAGCGGGCTACGTGCAGAGGACTGATGCTGACTTTCCTTCTCCAGGGTGAGAGAGGCTGGATGCGGATAGTGACCAGCACCTACAAGGATGGGAAGGGTGCGAGCTACAACCTCGCCATCGAGGAGAACTGTGCATTTGGGGACCCCATCGTGTAGGGTGGCTGTGTCTTAAAGCAGCTCTTTAGGTGTGAGATCAGGAAGCCTGTGGCATGTGCACTAGGCTGGTTAGCAGGACCAGAGAGACTATCGACACTGGCACCGTCATGGCACAGAACACCTAGAAGCCAGCTTTCTGGCTGAAAGAGCACCCTGAGAGAACATGTGACAACAGGGGGTCTTTAACACGGCACAGGGCAGCTCTGCCTCCGAACAACTGTGTCAGCCACCTGGTGAATAACGACCCTGCAGACGGGAAATGTGTGGCCTCAACTTTCTTCAGTTTTCTTGGTATTTCATGTTACCAACCATGGTCTGTAAAATGGCATTTAAGAGATAAAATGGTTCGGATTTGTCACCAGTTCTTATGTCACCTGCCCAAGTGATGAATAAAATATCAGGCTTCACTCAAGGACTTGAGCCTGTATGTGCCTTATTTATAATAACGTAACATCAGGACCTATACATTCCAACCCAGCAGAAAGGCTTTTTAAAAATTTATTTCATGTTGTTAGGAAATTTAAACAATTATCCACACACAAAGAAAAAAAAACTCAAATCAACCAACCAACTTGGTTCTTCTGAGGAAACTTAAATCTACCTTGAAAATAGTTCACCAAAGTGTCTCTTTCTGAATTCCTACCATCCCTGGCCTGACGAGTAGACTCGTCCCAAGAGGTAATATGAACCTGGTTCCTAAACTGAGGGAAATGAGCACTGCACACAGGATTTAGGAACAAACTGGGCTGACAACACAGAAGGGACCATCCTTAACGGTAGGTTCTCACACTGCTAACATTCTCCTCTTAAAAAAATTATCCACACCCTCCTAGCAGACCCCACATCCAAGATGCTGACTGAGCCTCTTCAGATGGCAGCTGCTTGAAGGGGTCCCCCAGCCACGCTCCACAAGGCTCTGCTTCAGCTCGGCAGGCTGTTCTGACTCAGTTCACCATGATGAAGTTAGACTTGCAGTGAGCTGCAGCGAGAGACACAGTCACAGGCTAGACACGGATGGGAAAGGTAGCACGCAGCACTGCAGCCAGTGCACATTCACATGGGCCTTACCAATGAATTCCGTCACAGGGTCATGTTCGCCCTCTGTTTTGATGGTGCCTGCAATGCTATCGTTTTCCAAGATGGGGAGGAAGAGCTGCACAAAGTCAGAGGTGTACGGAGGAGCAATAACATCCAGCACCTAGGTGGGGGAAAAGTGGGGTTACTCTGCCTGCAGCCAGTGTGGAACACCACGCCAATGGGGTGAAAAGACAGTCAGTCTGGAGATAAGCCCCCCACCCTCTCTGCCTTCCCTGGTGACATCAGTCTCCAACACTAAGACACCAGGGTGCTGATGTGGGGAAAACATATAACACTTCCTGCAGGTAGGAGGAACTCAGCAAAATTGCTATCTGTCATTGCCATCTCCATGATTTATCAAAAGCACAGTTCCCAGAGTTAGGCACAAACTGAACTAAATTAAGTCAAAAAGGGCACTGCTAGTGTAAAGAGCATGAAACACGAAACCAACGGTGCATTGCTGACCTCAGTGACAAAATAGCGAATGAGTGAAATGTCAGTGTCCAGCTTCTCCAGACACTTTCGGATGTAACTGACAACAGGAAGTACATAACCTCGACTCAGCAGGTGAACCATCCTGTCCAGCAGGGTCTTCTTCAACTCAAGCTGTAGAAGAGCAGGGGCAGAGGAGTCGGTCAGAATGGGGTGCTCCCCCAGGCCCAACAAGCCCTGGGGTGCTGCTCACCTGCTCCATTACATCCAGCTGGGAGTGCTCAGTCTCAAAGAGCTTAACGAGCAGCTGTAGAACCTGGGGGTGCAGGAGCTGGTGGCAGGTGCTGATCTACAAACAGGCCAAAGGGAATCTTGCTGAGAAGTATGGTCAGGTCTCCAGGCTCCCTCTCAGAACACACAGAACCACTCTCACTGTCACAGCTACCAAAGCCAGGGTACTGCTGAGGGTGACAGTCTTAAATACTGGACCAGGCTCATCTTTCCCCTAACATGTAGCAGACACCAAAAAATCTACACAATCCATTGAAGTCTTCATTTAGGACAGAAATAACTAGTTTTAGAAAGAGTATCTACTGAACTCACCATGAAGATGCAAGGGAAATACGAGCATGCGCAAGACAAGACAGACTCACTGTGTACAATGCAAATGGCCCTCTGGCCCCATACCTCATCCAGCAATGCCAGGTGTACTGGAGTATGGTCAGTCTGCAGCTGGAAGTACCTTGGTTCGGACACAGTCCAATCCACCCATTTCAGCACACCCATTGCTACCACTGGAAACCTACAGATAATCAGGTAGAATGACTCCTTTAAACCAGGAGCAAGAAAGGTGCTGAAATATGCCGCAAGCATCAGGGATTACAATGTTTAAGGAAACTCAGAATGCCCATCAGTTCACCCTTTAGTATGTGCTGCCAGGAGTCCCTTACAGCGGCAATGGCTTGATGAGATAGCAGCTCCCATCGGTGCAGAGTGCAAAGCAGATTGGATTCTCAGTTCATGCAAACTACTTTACTAATTTAAATGGAAGACCATTCCTGTGAAACACGCTGACTTTGGTGGGACTGGGCTCAAGTTTACCCTTACTTAGCAAACATTTCCTGGGTTCACAGTATAAATAAAAGAGGAAAGACTAAACTGCCTAAAGGATGCAGTATTTCTCAGATACACATTTACATAAATGGCATAATCATGAAGTCATTTCTATATAAGCAATACTTTGCTGCTTTGACTTTTACTACAAATGAACCCTCTCTTTAAACAATTTTTGTAATTCTGGGTGGTTTTCCTTTTACTGAGTCTAATCTGAGTATTTACTGAACAGATTTCTGCCTAGTAAACACCTGAACATTACTCATGCTGCTAAACCTGTTTAAAGTTCTCTACGTATGTTGAAAAAAATAAACATAAGGCCTAAGTATTCCAGAAGCTTTTGTTATGTGAGCTTTGAATATGAAAACCTGAGCCACCTCCCCTGAGGATTTAGTTTGGGAATTGGTTCCACTGCTCACCTAATACACTGATAAAGTGTGCTCAGTTCTGCCACAAGTTCAGAGGCGCCTTTGTTCTCATTGCAACACAAATTGTGGACCGTCTCCACAGCTTTCGATGTTGACTTCAACTCATCCTTATTGATGCTCACCCGCTTGTTCTGAAAACACACGCACAAGCTGGTGAATCCTGATGCACCACAGCCTTACTGTTAGGCATCCGGGCATCGGCCACTTCCCTCTGCAGGTCCCCTTCCCTATCTCTGCAGTCAGAGATCAAATTAACTGTCCGACTACAAAGTCACATGGTACGGAAAATGAAACCCAATAAGACCAGTGTTTGCCTCTGGCTTAGGCAATCAATTTCACCTCTTTAGTTACATTTCACATCACAGTCTGGAGAAGTATCAAAAAAGCAATGTATAGTTTCTTGTGACGTTTACAACTTTTGCCATCTTATGCACAAACAGAAGAGAACAATTCTAACTCTAGGTAGGCTCAAGGGTTCTTGCAGCCAAAATTCCCCAGTAATACTACAGCAGAGGACACCTGGCTCCTCGAAGTCCACAAGGGCTGACAGTACCTTCTTCCAGGTCTCAACCACACTTGCTGCATAAGCCAAGATGTGGATGTACTTGTGTTTGTGGTCCTGGTTGATCCGGGCGCCTGGTTTGAAGAGTGACTGCATGAACAGGTCCAGGAAGGCTGGAACCCGGATCTGAGAAGCACATACCAGAAGGGGGCTGGCAGGAGGGTGAGCACACACGCTCACGTTCACCCTGCACGACTCTGGGAAGCAGCGGCTCCACCTTGCCTGAAGGCTGAGGCGCGATGCGGAAGGACAGAAATATTTCCATGTCAACAGGGATTTGCATTCACACTGCCTTAAGAGAGTCAGGGAAGTGGAGAGACTTTCTAAAGCAGCCCTACCAATCCGCCCTGGGCGTATCCCATCTTATCAAAATGAGAGGTAACTTACGAGTTCAACAGGAGGGGGGTCCATGCTCGTGAACATCTTGAACAGGACTGTGATGTCTGCGGGGTTCAGGGCTCCTTTGGACAGCATGGCCCCAAGGGCCTGACAGGCACGGGGGTAGGAGGCGGCTGTGCCCAGGGCCAATGTGATCTGACTGGCATCATGGCCTCTTGATGGAAAAACCACACAGCTTGTCACTAACAAGCCAGTTTATGTGTTTCTGTTTTTCTTTTTCTTTTCTACCATGTAAGGCTTTAAAGTGTTGACATCTCTTTTTCATATTTCTGTCCTTCACTGGTTTACTGACTAAATGACCCATGAAAACAACATTTAGAGCGAAGTGGAAAAAATTATTCCAATACAGCTTACAGATTTTTTTTTCTTCTTTTTTTCTCCACCCCACCACCCCGGTACCGGGAATCGAACTCACGACCTTGTGCTTGCCAGGCAGGCGCTGTGCCGCTGAGCTAAATCCCCAGCCCTCAGCTTACAGATTTGAGAAAGGAAATCATACACTTTTAAAACACCTTAATAAGACTATATTAGTAGAAGGAAATAAAGTTAGTAAGAGAAACTGCTCTACAAGGTACCGACTATAATATATCAGACCAGTGAGTTACTATTTTAAAACTCCTGTTAATTGCTACTGATGATCCCAACATACAAAAATGTCAGTTACACATCCAGTGAATTGAAGAATACTCAGTTACTTTACAGAACAGTCATTAAAGCAAGAATCCGAAAGACAAGTTCTCCGGGTGAATTAAAAACTACCCCGACTTCCAGCTCTGCAGGGTATGAATTCACCTAGACGTCAGAACGGAAGGGGCTGCGCGTGGCTGGGACTAGGGACGGGGGCTTCATGGGGAATGGCGGGAAGCAGAGCATGGCCTCACTTCTCCTGGGCGAAGCGCTGCACCTCCTGTGCGACCCTGCGAACCGCAGAGCCGCCCTGCTCCTCCTGCGCCAGCACCGACATCACAGCCTGGGCGAACAGGTACGTGTGCTCCCCGTGGCACACCATCTTCTGGAAGGGGACAGTGAGACAGGGCTTGGGGCTTCACAGCACTCACAAGTGCAGAGAACAGTTCTCGGGCAGGGGAGTTACACTCGGGGCAGGCGCAGGAAGCCGTTTTTCATGCTTGAAACCCAAAACCCCACAAAGCTTCTCGATCCAAGATTCACAAAGTAAAGAACTTACAGCAAACTCAGGAAGGTTTTTTTCAAGGTTTTCTTCTCCTCCATCCAAGATGGTGGCTAGAGAGGTTCGAAGCACTCTGGAGAACACTTCTAGCTGCTGACAAGCAGTGGACACGCTGGTTATCTCCCCTTGATAGCCTGCATCAGAAATCAGCTGCCACACAGAAACAAAAGTTGAGCGTAAGGACTCAGTGACCCCACCTTTCAGAGCAGGGTGTCTGGTCAGTGTCTGCGGCGAGCAGAACACATAAGCACGGGTCTCAGGTCCCCAACCTTCGCTGTGCTTCCTGCTTTGCAAGCATCGAGGCCATGACCCACAGTTACCACCTGTGCAGGGTCTCTGTGTACGAGAAAGCAGAAGGAGCAGGCACACGTACAGGCCCCTCAGAACACACGCACATTCTAAATATGTCCCCGTTAAACCCTAAAACAAAGCCAGGTGTAGTGGCGCAAGCCTGTAATCCCAGCACTTGTGAGGCTGAGGCAGGAGGATCCCTGGAGTTCAAAGCCAGCCCGGGTACATATGATTTCAAGGCCAGCCTGAACTACAAAGTTAGGCCCTATCTTAAAAAATCTACCAAAAAAAAAAAAAAGTATTAAACCTTCAAACAGACTCAGTGCTTACATAAAAACACATATACAAATTCTATGCTTCCCTTTCTCAGTGTAAGGCTTACTGACCGGAAATGATGTAGACCTTCACCAAAAAAACACATACGATTTGTCAAGGGAAACCGACCACCAAATAACCAAAGAATGTTCACACACATTTTTGTTTTTTCTCTGACCCTAGGATTCTTCCTACCTTCACAGTAAAGTTAAGCATCAAACAGTCCGGATGAGCTTCAGCCAGTTTGTAAAAGAGATCCCTCCAAGTGGTGTGTGCAATCATTTGTTCGAGCCAAGCTGGGGTCTGCCAACAAACACACAACAGCAAGGTAAGAGGCCTGGCTTCAGCCTGAGTGCAGACTACACTGTATAAACAATCACAGGACATTCCAGCGGGAAGAGCCCCCATGGGCGTCCAGCCATGGAGGAAGCAGACCCAGGGCTGGTCACAGCCACAGCCAGCTAAGTGGCAGGAGGAGAGTCCCCAGACCCCAATCCCAGCTTCTGCAAGCTCCAATTCACCGTGAGAGGATGTGGAAGGGCACTTCCTGGGAAACACGCAGTCCCACGCAAGCATGTATATAGTGGCACTGCCTCGCACACACGATTAACTCACAGTCAATCAGCTGTATGCCTTCGGCAGGAGAGAAAAAGGCAACTCAAAGTGCATAGATGGCCATGAAAATGTGCCTCTAGGCCAATGGTGGCAAACCTTTTAGTTTTCAATCCTAACACCCACCGCGGCACGGGCGCCATACATTCCCACCACTGCTCCAGGTGTTCCTGCAGGTGACTGACGGACGGACGGGGCACTGCACTCTGAACCTGCCATCCTGTCTGTGCCAAGGCCAGGCTCCCTGTGGCTGCTCCCAGCCACCGCCTGAGCACAGTGGGGTTCCTGAGGCAGCCCTGCCCTAGGAGACATAGGCTTCTGTAACAGGCAACTCGCTGGGCCTGCAAAATGCCCTAAATGCTGCATGTAGCCTGTCTCTCTCCCTACCAACCACCCTCTGTCCTCTTGGGCCTTCGGGATCAGATGTTCACCCTGGCTTCCCAAACTCCTCCAGCACCTTCCTACTTTTCCTCACAGGGTCGGCTCTATCCTCTCCACATGTCCAGTGCAGTCGCAGTGTCTGCTTCTCAGAGGACCCAGGGTCTCTCCTCTCACAGAGCGGCATCCTAGAGCCCCGGTGAGTCAGGAGATAAGGGCTGCAGCTCGTGTTGGCCTGGTACTGGGAGCCTCCTGTGGGCAAGCACCTCCCTCTGCACAGCAGAGAGGGTCGTTTGCACCACAGGACCCAACTCTTAGCATTCTATAGTATGCCACATGCCACTCACACATGGGGCTAGCAGACGGTGCTGGGATGTGCGATACAGAACAATATTCCTCACCTCTCCTTCTTCAGTAAAAATAGAATCTGCTTTGCGAGGGTCAAAATGTTTGATCAATAAACTCTTCAAGTGATTTTCCACCGTTTCCTGAACCTGCACTGGCTCAACACCTGCAAGAAAATGAAAGCACTAAGAGACAATGGCAACTTCAGAAGCCACTCTATTCCTGCGGAAAGAGGCAATGGCTAAAGTCACTCTAGGAGCCAAATAGCACAGAACTGCTTCTAGCCACTTCTGAAACAGTTAAATGTGGCCCTCTTAAAAACAGTTATTCTGAGCTCGGCATGGTGGCGCACACCTGTAATCCCAGCCTGAGGCAAGAGTATCCCAAGTTTGAGTCCAGCCTGAGCAATTCAGTGAGACCACATCTCAAAATAAAAAATAACACCTATAATCACAGCACTCAGGAGGCTGAGGCAGGAGGATCACCATGAGTTCAAGGCCAGCCAGGCCTACAAAGTGAGTTCAAGACCAGCACTATATAGCAAGACGCTGTCTCAAAAAATCAAAAATAGAAATAAACAGGTAAATAAGGGCTTAGAATATAGCTCAGTATGAAAGCCTTGGGTTAAACCCTGTACTGCCAAAAAAAAAAAAAAATCCATTCACTGGTAAGACAACAGAGTGGCGCGCAGGATGTTCTATCCTGACTACATACAAAGGACAGCAACATCTTCAAATCCTCACCAAGGACAAAGACAGAACCAGACAGGTAGGAAGGTGGGAAACACACCCTACTCCAGAGAAGAGAGCAGATGTAGCAGCGACTCACTTGGGTCTAATCACTGTGACAGCACTCGACTGGTTTCCGGACAGCCCTCCCTCCAGTGATGTCATCTGCACCGTGTCCAGTGGGTTTACAGTAAGGCTCCACTGGGATCGTATTAGCTAAAAGCCATAGCCACAGCTGGTCTTAAATTATCCATCATTTACTGCTTGCTATAATAGGCCTCTGAAAATGACACACTCAACACACACTGTCTAATTCTATAACTCTACAACACGGCAGGAAAGCAGCTCAATGAGAATCATAGTTGCAGGCTATCTGTAAACCTCAATTACTGAATCAAATAGAAGAGTGGAGTAGATAAAAACAGCTAAGAAGTTCAACTCTTACTTATACAAATCTTAAAAACCAGGAACGCAGAAATGCATCAGAATGGTCCAAAGGTTTGTTAAGGAAGTGGGGGGGATGAGCCAGGACAAGCCCCGCCCAGCACCTGTCTGAATGAGCCACTCGGCCAGCAGGTTCACAGTCTGGGCCACAGCAGTGTAGTTCTCGGATAAGAGCTGGATGACGTTTTCCGGAGACCCTCCTGCCTGAAAATACCTGGGAAAAGCAAAGAGCAGCTATCACCCTGGAGTGCGGCAGGCAAGCCGGGATGGACAGGGAGGTAAGGAGCAAGGTAACTGGGTTGAGGGTTTTTAAGTGAGGAGGCAACTCTCGAAGCCTTCCATTCCTGGAAGGTTATCTTCAGGGTCTGTCTATAAAACTCTCTCTCAGCTGTGGCCTCCCTCGGAGTGCAAATACTGCCCTCACCTACCTCTTCAAAGTGTTGAAGATGGAGGGCTCCATGATATAGTCCCGCGTAGAAAACTTATGCAGGCATTCCTGCTGCACCTCTGCATCATCTTCTCCTTCTCCAGAATCATCTTCCTGCTGCTGGGAGAGGCGAGGGGCCAGTGCACCAGAAATATCCTGTAATCTTTCCTTAAATCTGTATAATCCTATTCATTTTGAAAATTTTGCTCCACATAATTTTCTTTTTTTTTTTGAGACAGCATCTCACTGTACAGTCAAGGCTGGCCTTAAATTCACCAGGCTGGCCAAGAACTCCCAGGTGATCTTTCTGTCTCAGCCTCCCGAGTGCTGGGATTACAGATATATGTTGCTGTGCCTGGCTACAGTTTCATTTGACTTCCATGATAATCTCATGAAAAGGGGCTAGAGGAGGGGTGAGTAGCTATGAGAATGGGCTCTAGAATCACACCAAGTGGAATGTGTGACCAGCTTGGTAAACTGTACTGCAGTTACACAAAGCACTTAGCCTCTGAGTGGCCATGTCCTCTTCTGTTGGCTTCTGTGAGGATTCCATTAGCTAATTTTTGGAAGGGCCAAATACAATATCAAATATTTAATAAGTTTAACAGATATTGGCTACTACTATTGCTTTCACTGGTTTTTTTTTCGTTTTTTTTCCCTGTACCAGGAATTGAACTCATGACCTCGTGCTTGCCAGGCAGGTGCTATGCTGCTGAGCTAAATCCCCAGCCCCTTCACTGTTATTATTTCATATTTATCATTTAATGCCTTCCAACTAAGACTAACAAAGTGATTCTTAAAAGTCTGAGCTGTCTATTTATGGTTCAAAAGGAAAAACTGCTAACTTGCTTCGAATCAACAAGCCTGCCTGGATTCCAGTCTCACTTCTAAGTGGAAGCAACCTCACACAGGCTGCTTCACCTCCTGACAGCCACGTGATAACAGCTGACTGAATGACCCTCATGTCTGTCCAGCTTTAATGCTACCATCCTAACTAAAAGCAGATGCGTTTTTGAATACCTACTCTATGCTGACTGTACAGTCACTGAAAGACTAAAAAAAAAAAAAAAAAAAAGACAAAGGGGGCTGGGGATTTAGCTCAGCGGCAAAGTGCCTGCCTGGCAAGCGCAAGGTCGTGAGTTCGGTTCCCGGTACCGGAGAAAAAAAAAAAAAAAAAAAAAAAAAAATATGAGAGATGGCTTTTTCCACAGTAGTTCACAACTTCCCTGCAACTAACATAACGGGAAAAGAACTGGGCCAGAGACCAGTAAACTATGGCCAACTCTAGCCCTCTTCCTGTTTTTGTAAATAAAGTTTTATTGAAATACACTCATACCTATTTTACCATGTATTATCTATGATTGCTTACTCCCTAATACTGCAAAGTTAAGTAGTCGTAACAGAGTCCTGTACAGCCTATTGTATTTATTATCTGGCCCTTTACAGAAGTTTGCCCACCACTGGTCTGAAATAACAATCTGAAAGCAATGTTTTGGAAGTAAACAGAAAGGGCTTCACTGAAGACAGAGGAAGTCTTTTCCGAGACTGTATTTGTGAGAGAGACCTTGAGGAAGGCTAGACTTCAGCCTGAGGCTCATTCTCCCCTGGCCTCCCATTTCCTGCTACTACATCCTGTCCTGCACTGTACCTCTAACTGCTCACACCTCTAGTGTGGCGTGGATCTCTCTCCTGAGCTCTAGAATCACGTATGCAGTTGTCTAGGACACCACACTCCTGAGGTCCAAAACTGATTTTGTCCCTCACTGACAACAGATCTGCCCACAAACCATGTTCTAGTAAAAGGCCCTTCCACCTGTCATACGCGCACTTTGCAATCATCCTCAGTTTCTCCTCCCTTACTCTGTTACCTCCAGTTACAAAGACCCAGTAACTCCACCTCCCACACATCACCCCAATTTGGCCCTTCTTCCCTATTTACTGTCCTCTTCCTCATTCTGTTAATGCGTCGAGTGGCAACATTCCCCATATGCCTCAGTCTCAGTCCTTCCTTGCAATCATCTTTCACACTGGATGCTACAGTGACCTTCATAAGCCACAACGTGCTTAGTTTCCTGTCTTCCTCGGAAAAATATCCAAGCAGCAGCAAGACCTTGCTCTTCCCAACTGCTCACCCACCCACACTCCCATCTTACCACTCTCCGTGTGCAGCTGCAGCCGGACTAATCAACACGTCAGCTGTTTGGACTTAACAACTTGCTGCCTCCTTACACATCTTCCTGCCCCTCCAAACCAAGTAAAATGGCATCAAGTGCATGCAACGTGGGTCACCGGCTATCTTTCCAAACCCAGCGAATGCTACCTTCCCCTCATCTCCCTGAAAGTTTTCCTCTTCCAAGAGGTCACAGGTGAAAGGACAAGAAATGAACACGTGGCCCATCCTCTTCATCACTACCAGTCCCGTATGGTCAGTGGGCCAAACCAGGGTCATGATGAACGTTCTCCAAACATGAGACTTCCCAACCACTCTTCAGTAAGGTCTAGGCCTGGCTCTGCTACTCCTAATTGCATAAACTGGGGCACATAACTCAGGTGCTCTGTCTACACAAAGACAGCATAGGGTTAGATGGCCCGGAGGTATGCTCTAGTTCTAACGCTTAGGACTCAAATGCTCAAAGTGACCAGCAGGCTAATTCAGACCTTTACATTCCGCTCACCTGAGCCTCCTGAGTAGTCCGCAGTTTAGTGAAATAACGATGTGAAAAAAAGAAATAGATTTGCATCCCCATTCCTTATTAGTTTCATGACGCTGGGATGGTCACTTAGTCTTTTTGTCTCACTTTATTCACTTATGAGAAGACTATATCCAACTCAAAACCCTGAGCACGGAATGAGAAAATTCATGCTAACACTCAGCCCAGACTCCCAATTAACTAATTCTGACTCTTTATCCCTTCCACTAACATCCCCAAAGCAGCAGAATGAAGCAACGTGAGAATCTACTCATGCCATGCCCTGTTCAAACTCAACTGGTCAGCAGCTCTTCGACACCCTTGGGAATCTGGTCCCTCAACCTCTGCCCCACCACCAACTAACCCCTCAGGTCTTCCTTCCGCTCCAGAAACAACTCGCCTCTTCAGTGCCCTCTCAGCACCACCTTGATCGAGGAAGTGAACTGCACTTTTTTTTTTTGGTAGCAGGAATCGAACTCAGGACCTTGCGCTTGCCAGGCAGGCGCTTATGCCGCTGAGCTATACGCCTGGCCCCGGTGCATTCCACTTAATCCTTTATTCCTTCAAAACAAAATCTTAGTTCCTGCTATAAAGGCACATTCCCAGGATCTCCTACCCAAAATCTACAGGGCAGTCTACCAGAGATGAGCCTGGGCAGCTGTTCGGCAACTATACACCTCAGGGGCGTCTCCTCTGACTTCCCAACCTGTCTTTAGGGGAAAAGAATGCTGCCCCGGGCTCCCACCGCAAACGCGGACGGACGGTCAAGGCTCCAAGATCCTTTCTGTCATCCAGTCCAAGGATAGATGAAATTTGCCCAAACTCCTGAAAAGAGTTTGGTTTACCGAACAGCAGAACACACGTGAGAAAAGTTTACTTTCCCCGCAGGATGCTGGTTTGGAGTTCGGAGTTTCACTTTGTTTACAGCTGTGCGGGCCCTCTACCCCACCTGGGAGTTTGTATCCCTCCCGCCCCGGGGCAGCCTCGCTCGTGCACGTCCGAGGCGTCAGTCTCCAGGCTACCAGGGTCCACCGGCGTGGGGAGACTGAGGCTCCGCGGCGGTGGCAGCGTGGGGCGGGCAGGGGGGCCGGGCGGGCAGCGGAGACCCCGGCGGCCGCGGGCCGGCTTACGCCCCCCGGACGCCCCAGCCCGGTCCTCTAGGGCCCAGCGAGGAGGGGCCGGCCCGGCGGCGGCAATAAAAGAGTCCGGTCAGAGGGCGCCCGGTGACCCCTCTCACCTGGCCGCCGTCCGCCTCCTCGCCCCACTCGGCGGTATTCCCAAAGTAATCTTCAGCCATGATAGTACCCGGCGCGGGGCCCGCCATACTTCGCGAGTTCTCGCCGCGCATGCGCAAACTGGGTCTGGGCGGGAGGACGCATGCGCAGTCCCACGGCACAGCCGGCGGTCTGGGTAGGCGAGAGGTGGGGCTTGGTGGAGGGGCGGGACCGCGGGGCTTCCGCGCCCGGACTCACGGGCGGCGCTGAGGGAACGCCCCCAGCCGACCTAGGATCCCCGACTGGAGGCGGGCTGGGGGCTTCCGCTCGGCCCGGAAGAGTCCCACTGGCCCGGCACCCTTGGTCCTACCTTGCTGCGGCTTCCGGTACTGCCAGTACCTGAGAGTTGGGCACAGGTGTGTCAGGGACAGTGTCTAGTGCCCAGGAAAGTGTGGTTAAGTTTCTTTTATTGTTGGCAGGAGGTACCCAGTGCAGGGTAAAATAGAATTGCTAACGTGTGGTTTAGTGGCCGAGGGGCCTCAAGGCAGAAGGGCCCGGAGCCCACCGAAGTCATGATTCGGCCCTGGAAAAGGGTCTACCTGAGGCCCCTGCTGAGGGCAGCTGAGATGGGGGTGGGGGTGGGGTTTGTTTTATTTTGTTTTGTTGGGGAGGGTGAGGGTAGTAGTGGAGATTAAACCCATGGCCTTGCACATCTCCAGCCCTGTCTGTTTCTTTAAAATTTTCAGATAGCGTCTCATGAAGTCACTAATTGCTCAGGCTCCTGGAGCTTGTGCTCCTCCCGCCCCTGAGATGGTGCTTTTATGCCCGAAGCCCCCTGGCTCCTAGCAAGCGGCCAAGAATGATGGCCAGGGAGGACGAGGGTGAGTTTGGGGCAGAGTTCAACACCATCTGCTGTGGGTGATTGAAAGGTAAGACTGTGCCCCTGAGGAAGGCCCTCAAGAACCCCGGAGTGCGAGCAACACCCTACCCAGGGTGTAAGGGGCTCTGGGCTTCCAGGCACTCCTTCCTTCACGGGCTCCACAAAAGGTCATTGAGTGTCTCCTCAGTGCCTGACACTCCGCTACTCCCTGGAGCTCCATGGTGAATAAATAGGTCACGGTCCTTACTCTGGAGGAACCTACATTTCATGGAGGGAGCTGAAAAGGAAGGGAAGTAATGACAGGAGGCCACAAGCGCTAGTGCTATTGATGGACATGTAGGCCACTTTCGAGATTTAGCTATTGTGAATGATACTGCTATAAACATGGGTGTGCGTAGCTCACTGTGATATGATGTCTTTAATTCTTTCAGGAAGATACGGTAAGAGGGGAATGGCTGGGTTGAGTGGAATTTCTTTTTTTTATCATTTTTTTTACGGAATCTCCATACTGGTTTCCATAATGGTTGACTAGTTTACATTCAATAAAGAAGAAGGGTCCCCCACCCAGCCTCACCAGCATTTGGTGTTACCTGATTTCGTGATGGTAGACATTCTTTCTGGAGTAAAGTGGAATCTCAGTGTTGTTTTAATTGCATTTGTCTAATTGCCAAAGATGGTGAGCAGTTTTCATATATTTATTGGGCGTTTGTATTTTTTCTAGAAGTGTCTGTTTATTTCAGTTGCCCTCTTTTGCTTGGGTCTTTGATTTGGGGGGTGTCTAGTTTTTTTAATTGTTTACATATTCTAGATAACTAGTTCTTTGTCAAAGGAATGGATGACATAAATTTCTTCCCATTCTGTAGGTTGTCTCTTCCTTCTATTGGTTGTTTCCTTTATTACTGCGCAGCAACTTTTTAATTTAATATAGTACCAATCGTTGACATTTGGTGTTGTCTCTTGTGCAATTCGGATTCTGTTCAGAAAGTCCTTGCCTACACCCATGTCTTCAAGAGTTTTACCTATTTTATCTTCCAACTGGTTAAAAGTTTTTAATATTTAGATCTTTAATCCATTTTGATTTCAGTTTAGTACAGGTGAGAGATACAAGTCAAAATTCCATTTTACACATGTGGCTAGCCTGTTTTCCCAGCACCATTTGTTAAAGAGGCTGTCTTTCTTCCAGTGTAAGTTTTTTGGCCCCTTTGTCAAAGATCAAGAAGCTAAATGTGCTTGGAGTTGCTTCTGCATCCTCTGTTCCGTTCATTGATTCATATCTTTCTGTTTCCTAGTACCATGCTGGTTTTTTTGTTATTTTTTGTACTAGGAATCGAACTCAGGATCTTGTGCTTGCCAGGCAGGCACGTGTGCCACTGAAATGTATTTCTGGCCCCACCATGCTGGTTTTATCACTGTAGTTTTGTAGTAAAACTTGAAGTGCGAAATTGTGATGCCCCCTGCCTTGCTCTTGTTGCCCAGGATTGCTTTTGCTATTCTGGGTCTCTTCTGGTTCCATATGAATTTTAGAATTGTTTTCACTTGCTCTGTGAAGAATGCTCTTGACATTTTGATTGGGATTGCATTAAATCTGTTTATCAGTTTTGGAAATATGGCCATTTTGACTATATTGGTTCTGTTTTCTGAGGAATAGAAGATATCTTTCCTTTTTCTGATGTCCTTTTTGATCTCCTTTTTCAGAGTACTGTAGTTTTCACTGTATGGGGGTCTTTCATTTCATTGGTTAGGTTAACTTTTCAATATTTAATTTTTCTTGATGCTTGTAAAAGGTATTGTTTCCCTGATTTCTTTCTTGGTGAGTTTATTATTGGTGTGCAGGAAAACTTGATTTTTGTGTGTTGACTTTGTACCCTGCTACATTGCTGAACTTGGTTATTAATTCTAGGAGTCTATTGGTGGAATTTTTGGAATCTTCTGTTAGAGTATCGTGTCATCTGCAAATAATGATAATTTGACGTCTTCCTTTCCTATCCATATCTGTTTTATTTTTTCCTCTTTCCTGATTGTTTTTATGTTTCAAGAACTATATCAAACAGTAGTAGTTACAGTAGGTAGTCTTGTATAGAAAGCTCTTCCCAGACCTGTCAAGGTTCGGTGTACATTTGTAATCCGAGGGAAAGTTGTTGGAATTCCAATAAATTAATTCCAATCCACCACTTCGAGTGTGACCCATAGTGAGAACAAATACACTAAGGCATTTTTGTAGTTGTGGGGAGCCAAGGGGGTCCTAAGTCCAGCCAGAACAATGGCTAATGGGAACAAAGTCCTCAATCCAGGACCAAACCAGAGTTTTATTAATTTGTAAAGAGGGGCATGGCTCAGGTATGGGTGACTGAGAGAAAGACGAGAAGTATGTGTGTCTTGTGAGCTAGGGTAGGTAGGAGGCCTGCAATATGCAGAAAGAGAAATAGGTAGAAAGCAATCTGCATATCACTGATTGAGTAAGTATCTCATGTGTAGGGATCAGTGCTTTGGCTCTGATACATAATTTTCATGCCCTGAGACATCATAGATTCTTTCTGGAGCCTCCGTCTCAGCCAACATCACTCAGCCTAGCTCATGCATACTACTTGGGAGCTATAGGCGGGGCATTACTAACCTGTCATTGCTTTAAAGACTACACATCAGCACCTCGCTAGACCCATTTGCATTGCTTAAAGCTAATTGAGAGGATGAAAAATATCCTAGCCTGTTCTGTACATATCAGTACACAGCAGTAGGGCCAAATGCTGTTCTTTCAAGGGGAGCTGTCCTCCACAGTCTTGTCTTGTTCCTGATTTTAGAGGGAAAACTTTCAGCTTCTTCCCATTTAATACAATGTTGGGTATTGGTTTGTCATAGATGGCGTTTATCAGATTACCTGTTTGCTTCAGGATTTTTATTTTGAATGGACATTAGAGTTTGTCAAAAGTCTTTTATGTGTCAGTTGAGACAATCATGTGATTTTTGTCCTTGTTTCTATTTATGTGATGTGTTACACTTACTGATTTGCATATGTTGAATCATCCCTGGATCCCTGGGATGAGTCCTACTTGGTCATTGATAATCCGTTGCATCCCATTTGCCATATCTTGTTGAGGATCTTTGGGTCAATTAAAGAGATTGCCCTGTAGTTCTCTTTTTTGGTTTGGTCCTTTTCTGGTTTTGGAGTCAGGGTAATGTTAGCTTCTAGGACTGACTTTGAGAGTACTCCTTCCTTTTTGATTTCATTAAAGAGTTTGAGGACTATTGGCATTAGATCTTCCCTAAAGTTTTGAACAGTGAATCCATCAGGACATGGGCTTTTCTTACTTGGTAGTTTTTGTTATTATCTCTGTAATCTCATTACCTAGTATTGGATTAATTCAGGGTTTTTATGTCTTTTTGGTTCAGCTTTGGTACATGGCTCATAAATAGCTAGTAATCTATCCATTTCTTCTGAATTCTTCATTTTATTAGCGTATAGGTTCTCAAAGTAATTACTAATAATCTTCTGGATTTCAGCAGAGTTTATTGTGGTTTTGCCTCTTCCATTTCTAATTGGATTGATTTGAGTCTTCTTAAGGATAACTAAGGATATATGTATTTTGCGTATTCTTTCCAAGAACCAGCTCTTCAATTCATTAATTCTTTGTATTTTTTAGTCAGCTTAATTAATGTCTGCTCTGATCTTGATAATTTTCTTCCTTGTACTAGCTTTGGATTGGATTGCTCTTGTTTTTCTAGGACCTTGAGGTGCATCATTAGGTTATTGATTTGGGCTTGCTCTGTTTTTCTGATGTGGGCATTTGTAGGTATAAACTTCCCTCTTGTAACTGCTTTCTTTGTGTCTGATAGATTCTGATATGTTGCAGTTGCATTATCATTTGTCTAATTTCTTCCGTGAATTCTTTTGTGACCCATTGATTATTTAAGAGAGTATTTTTTAAATTTCCATTTGCATAATTTCTGTCATTTCTTTTGCCATTGATTTTTAGTCTCATTACACTATGATATGATAAGATGCATGGGATAATTTTGATTCTTTTGCAGTTACTTAAGCAAGCATGTTTTATGGGCTAGCATGTGTGTTCTGTTTTTGAGAAAGTCCTATGTGCTGCTGAGAATAATTTATATTTTGGTGTTGCTGGGTGGAATAATCTGTGGATATCTATTAAGTGCATTTGTTTGAAGTTTTGGTTCAACTCTGATGTATCTTTGTTGATTTCTTGTCTAGTTAATTTATTTTATTTATGACAGTGAGTCTCGGAGTCCCCCATTGTAATTGTGTTGATGTTTATCTGATTTTTTTATGTCTAGTGGTGTTTGTTTTATGAAGTTGGGTATGCTGGTGTTTAGTGCATATATGTTTGTAATTGTCATCTCTTCCTATTGAATTGTTCCCTTAACCAGTATGTAATGACCTTCTTTGTCTGTTGTGATCAACTTTGGCTTGAAATCTACTTTGTCTAAAATTAGGAGAACTAGTCCTGCTTTTTTTCTTGGTTCTCATTGCGTGGAATTTGTTTTTTAATCCTTTGATTTTTTTTAATCTTTGCATTTCCTTTTGGATTAAATATGTTTCTTATATGCTGTATATTGTTGGGTTTTGTTTTTTGATCCATTCTGTTAATCTGTGTCTTTTGATTGGGGAATTCAGACCATTCACATTGAGAGTTATTGAAAGTTACTGATTCATCCTGTCATTGCATTATTTTGCTTCTGATCACCACTTCACCATTTTCTTTTTCCCTTATTTTTAATTTCTTTTACCTTTAGTGTTTTATTTATTATTTTTTAGTTTAAAGAGAATAAAAAATAATAAAAATGATACAGAATTTCAAAACAAGATGTTAGGAAATTAACAATGGTTATTATATTGCATATTGTTATCTTTAAAGTAGTTGCTTAACTGCAGTGAAGGAGGGGAGAGGAAAAAAAAGAAGAAAGAGGAAAAGAATATGTATACACAGGATAGCTAGGATAATTGTACTACTAGTATTTTGGTTTATTGAAAGGAACTGTTAATGTGTAATTGTTTGATCAGTCTTGCACACTTATATCTGGTTATATGTGCAACCATTTTGAAGATGACATTGTGTAATATAACAACCATTGTTAATATCCTATCACCATGTTTTGAAATTCTGTATCATTTTTATTGTTCTCTATGCTGTTTTGTTTATGTATTTGTTTTTGTTATTTTGGGTATTTTTTTCTTTAAAATGAAAAACAATTTATGTGTATATACAAGAATAGCTGGGATAGGTGTATTGCTGATGTCTGTGGTTTATTGAAAGGAACAGTCAATGCTTAAAATTTTCTTTCTTATTGACCAATTTCGCACACTTGAATCTGGTAATCAGAATGACTGATCTGAAAACGGCAATATGTAGTATAGGAACCATTGTTGAACTCCTACCATCTTGTATGGTGAAGCTCTGCATCATTTCATTTTTTTTATTATTATTACTTGTTACTGTCTCTGATTGCTTGATCACTCTTACATTCTTAGGTCTGGTGGACTGAGCAACTTCATTGAAGATAACAGTATGTAATGTAGCAACCATTGTTAATTTCTATCATTTTGTTTTGCGATCATGTATTTGTTGTTTTTGTGTTGTTTTGATTTTGTCTTCATTATTTTGTTAGTTTTTTAAATTTTTAAAATAAAAATAGTTGCTCAGATTACCAGATATAGGCATGCAGAGTTGATCGAACAATATAAGCCCTAATAGTTCCTTTCAATGAACTAATAGAAATTAGTAGTACAGTTATCTTAGCTACCTTGTGTGTATATATATATTTTTTTCTTCCCTTCTTTTTTCCTTTCCCCCATCCCAATTGTTCTTTTCTTTTGAGCAGTTTCTTTCCCTTTCACAGTATCTGTTGTACCTTTTGGATCTTATTTATGCTTTCAATTTCTTACATTAGGGAGACAATATGATGTTTACATATGCAAATCTGATTTATTTCACTTAGGAGTATGGCCTGTAGTTGCATCCATTATTTTTAATTTTTGAGACAGGGTCTCACTATGTTGCCCAGGTTGGCTTCAAACAAGAGCTCCTCCTGCCTCAGCCTCCTGAGTTGCTGGTTTTACAGGCATATATCACCATGCTGGGCTGCTTTAATACATTCGTGTGCTGAATCCAAGTAGTCCTTGCTTAATAAAACATACTTCCTACCAAGTTAATTTGGACATTCTAAACAAAACTTTTTAAAAACAACAGTTCAACAAAATCTCAGGAGGTGAGACCTTTAGATGCACTTATTCTTAATCTTTGCAATTTACAGACTACGTATTAGTTATTTTGATAAAATGAAATGTCTGGATTTTGTTGTTTTCTTTGAGGATCAGACAATGCAGACATGCCTGCGTTTTCTAGGCTCTTTAGCTAAGCAGGATCTGAGGGGAGTGAATGAGAAGGAGAGAGTCAAATCAAGAGGCCTTAACTAAGAGCTCACTGCCGAGAAGGGGCCGCAGCTGCTTCGTGAGATTGGGCCAAAATGCAGAGGATGTGGCGGGCTTGCAGGTGGGGAGGAGAGCAAGGAGCAGAGGCTGAATGGATTTTTCTGAGTAGTGTAGCCCCTGAGTGTGGGGCCAGCCCACTGCGGAGACAGGGAGCCTGACAGGAGGGCAGATTTCTGCCCGGGAAAACAGTGACAGCACATTTGAGACACGTGGAATTGGAGGTGCCACAGAACCCACGTGAAGATGTCTCACAGGAGGTTGGAGGCGGAAGTTTGTATTCTGGATTCAATGGATTCAGCTTGAGCTTCAATTCACGAGATTAAAGTGTATTAAATTACTGAGTAGCCCTGCTGTTGACTTATTTCAGGGTGCGTTTTCATTTGCTTTCTGAAAATGTTGGAAAGAATAGATGGCTGTTAAACTCCTGCTATTTCTCCTCTTGGATTTTTTTTAAACAGTTCCTGAACTGAAAGCAGATAAATTTATATATATATAATTGTGCCTATAGAATCAAGGATTATTTAACTTACTTCTTCCTCAACCAAAAGGTTACTTATTATTGAAAGATGCATGAACTGCCCATAATGAAAGCGTTAAGCCCAGTGTTTAAGTCACAATGATTTAGAATAATTGGAACTACAGGTCTTGCCTCCTGAGATATTGTTGACCTGTTGTTTTTGAAAAGTATTGTGCAGAATGTCCAGATTAATTTAGGGGGGTGGGGTGGGGAACAAAGCTGTACACCTCAGGTAAGCCAGGGAGCAAAGATAAAGGTATAGAACCAGGGAGAAAGCGGCTGGAGACAAGAAATAGGCCCCAAGGTCAGAACCCCAATTTCCACTCCCTTCAAGTATGCCCTACTTCCTGTTTGTATCACCTCCCAATAATGTCATCAGATTATAATCTCATTAGTGGGTTTATCCCCTGATGAAGTTAGTGCCTTCTCTTTCTAGTCCCTTTCCAAAAGCCCATCTACTGAAACACATGAGCTTTGCGGGGGGACATTTTAGACCGAAAACATAATATTGCTCAGCCAGGGATATAGTATATATAGTCCTAATGGCAAAGAAAAAGGATGTCTCTAATGATAGGAAAAGTAGGGAACTCAAAGAGGAGTTAAGAAGAGTCTTTCCACTGGGAATGGTGGTGCATGTCTGTAATACCAGCACTGTGAAAGGCTGAGGCAGGAGGCTGGCAAGTTTGAGGCCAGCCCAGGCCACTGAATGACTTAACAAGACTGTCTCAAAATTAAAAAGGGTTGAGGATATAGCTTGGGGTGGAAACCCTGGATTCAATCCCCAGTAGCACATGTACGTATGCGCTACACACACACACACACACACACACTCACACGCACACATGCCTTTGCAAGGAAATCATGTTTACATGGAGACTTAAGACTTGAACTCAGAGGACAAAGAATAGGGCATAATGGAAAAAATAAAAGGTGACAGTACAGTAAAATGGCCATAGTAGAGATATCACTTCATAGCAGTGCTGCCATGTTTTCCATGTCTTAAGAACACTTCCGATCTCACAGTTTCTGACACAGACATGACACTACCGACCTTAAGTATGACCTTTCCTTGGTTTCTTCTTACCTCATCAGCTGTCCCTTCTCAGACTGCTCTTTTCATTGTCCCTCTGCCTCTTCAGATATTGCAGTTCCTAGGACTTGGATAGTGACCTCTTCTCTACTTGCGTTCTCTTCCTATGGGACCTCATTCCCACATCTTCTGAGCCATCTAATCCTGAGAACTCTCAGCTTTGTGTCTCTAGCCCTCATGTCTTCTCTGATGTCCAAGCTTGAGTATTCAATTGAATTGACTGCCTTTTAACCCTATTGTTATGGCTCCGATGGGCATTTGACATGTCCATGAGCACGTTGTGCTTGATCCTTCTGTTCTCTTCCCTCTTGGATGGTCATGGGACCATTAGCACCATGCTTACCGATGTCAGACACCTGGAAATCATCCTGCACTTCTGCTCCCCCTTCACTTCTATCCAACCCAAAGGCACATCTGATCCACTTGGAAAATACTTCAAATCTGTCCACTTGTCTTCGTCTTTACCACCACAGTGTTAATCTAAGTTCCTATCAGCTCTCACCTGGGCAACTGAAGTAGTTCCAGCTGCTCTGACTCATTAACCCTTATTCTATAACAGTCCATTCTTCAAAGAGTAGCAGCGTAGTTCACAGAGTATAGTATGAGGTTTTTATTTCTCCACTCTTAAAGAGATGGTGGTTCATTTCCCTCCCCTTGAATGTGAGTTGCTGAACTTAGTTCACTTCTTATGAGTGAAATAAAGCAGAAACCTTGGAAGACTACATAGGCTGGGTCATAAAAAAGACATCAGATCTCTATCTTGCCCATACTGTCTCTTGGATCACTCACTTTGTAGGAGGGAAGATGCCAAGTTCTGAGCAACCCTATGGAGAAGCCACTTTCTTTAGCAGCTAAATAAATAAGCAAAGGTGGAATCTCCACCCCGGTCCCACTCGCAGCTGACCTCCTGTGTGCAACTTCATGAGAGAACCTGAATCAGAACCATCCAGGTAAGCTGATTCAAAATTTCTGGCCAACAGAAAAAATTATGACATAACTTGTTGTTTTAAGCATACACATTTGGGGTAATTTCTTATGCATCAATAATTATTTAATATGTGTATCCAAAGCACTCATTTAAAACACAGACAAGATCATGGCCCTCCTTTGCTTGATGTGTCTCAGTGGCTTCCTGTTTCAACTGAAAAAAGCAAATCATTTTCTTTCGTTTGGCATGATGGCATTGAAGCCAACATAGTCTGCCCCCCCACCAAATGAGCAGTAATGTTGGGTACAACTAACAAAAATAGACACTTTAGACCTCTGGAAACAGAACAAAAGCTTCTCATAAACTGAGAAGTTTATTAGCCAAGATTACTGAACTTTAAGTATGAACAACATAAATCTGTGACATTTTTGCCTAGTATTCTCCGATTTTTGAAGGCAAAAAGAGACATGTGATTAGTAAATGACTTCTCATCCAAAACGATGGAGGCCAAAGGCAGGGGAGGGACATATTTAGCTATAAGAAAGTAAACTGTCAACCAGAAACAGTATATCCTTTAAATATAAAAAAATTGAAATTAAGACACTTTCAGATAAAGACAGAGGATTTGTTGCTCATAGACTTGCTTTATAAAAAATACTAAAGGAAATCCTTTAAGCTGAGAGTAATACTACACAGTAACTGCAGTTCATAGGGAGAAATTGAATACCAGAAATGACAGCTACACAAGTCCCTATATACTACTTTTTCTGTTTTAAAGTCGTGTATGATATATATGGTATAAGCAATAATTATAACATTATATTGTATTTGTAATATCAAAAGGTGGGGAGGAAAAATGAGATATATTGAAGCAAGGATTCTATATTTTACTGAAATTAAGTTACTGTTACTCTGAAACAGATTTGCTAAATTAATATGTATATATAATCTCTAGAGCAATCACTAATGAAAAACTCAAAAGATAGTAAAAAAATTAACAGATAAAGTGGTTTGTGAAAGCACATGTAACGTAAAATAAAGTAGAACAAAGAAGACATGAGACAAATCGAAAGCAAATAGCAAAGTGGAAACATAAATCCAAACATGTCAGGAACTTTATTCAATGAAAATAGACTACATAGCCCAAAAGACAGAGATAGACTGAAAGAAAAACAGAACAATCTGCTGTCTATAATGAATATACTATAGATTCAAAGACACAAATAAGTTGAAAGCAAAACACTGGAGAAAATATACATGTAAACAGTAACCATGAAAGTTGGAGTTTCTATACCAATACTAGGCAAAACAGAGTTTAAAACTTTAGAGACAAATAATTATGATAAATGAGTCAAACATATAGTAGATATAATAATTAGGAGTGTCTATATATATCAGGCTGTATTGATTAACTCAAAGTATCTGAAGCAAAAAATTTATTGAATTGAAAGGGATATGGGCAATTTAACAATAACACTTAAATATTTCAATACCTCACTCTCAACAGTTGATAAACAACTAAACAGCAAAACTCAGCCATGGTAGGATGGTAAAATGATGCAACCTCTGTGGCAGTCCCTCCAAAAAATTAAAAACAGAACTACCATATGATCCGACTATCCCATTTGTAGGAATATATCCAGAAAAATTTGGAGCAAGGTCTTCATGTCCATAGCAGCACTAGTCACAACTCAAGAGGTGGAAACAACCCAAATGTCTATCAGTGGATGAACTGATAAATAAAACATGGTATGTGCATGCAAGGGAATATTATCAGCCTTAAAAAGGAAGAAAATTCTGGCACCTGCTACATGAACAGGAACCTTGAGAAAATTATGCTAAGCGAAATAAGCGAGTCCTAAAGACAAATACTGTGTCATTCCACATAAACAGGGTTTAATCTTTGAATTGAATTAATGGAAAGAGAAAGTAGGATGGTGATTATTCTTCAGAAAGCAGAAGAGAGGCAACTTCTTGTTTAATGGTTTTGCAAGATGGAAAAGTTCTGGAGATCTGTATCACAATAATTAAAAATACTTAACGCTGCTTAAAACTTCAAAATGATGAATATGATAAATTTTATTTCATGTGGGTTTTCTTTACCACATTAAAAAAGTCAATAGAGGCTTGAACATCAGCCAACTAGACTGGACATTTCTAGAAAACTCCACCCAAAAAACTAAAAATATGAATGTATTCTTTTCAAAGGCATATAGGTCATTCTCTAGGATTGATTATAAGAGGAATCACAAAGCAAGACTCAACTTTAAAGACAAACCATATAAAATATATTCTTTGGTCATATTTGAATAAAAATGGAGATCTACAAAAGAAACCTCAGAAAACCCCAAATATAAATTAAACCACATATTTCTAAGTAACCTATGAACCAAAGAACAAATGACAAGAGAAGCTAAACCTATTGTAAACAAAATTAAAGCAAAAACACAACCTAAGAAAATGTGTGGGGCATAGCTACCGTAGTGATTGAAAGAGAAGTTACAGCTGCAGATTACTATGTTTGTGACAGAAAAAAGGTCTCAAATCAAAACCCAAGGCTACCACTTCAAGAAAGTTGAAAAGGAATGCAGAAAACTAAATCCAGCAAAATAAGAAGGATCAAAGGCTATGACAGAGTGGAATTTGTTCCAGGAATTCAGGTTGGTTTAGCATCCAAAAGTAAATTAATGTGTTAGTGACACACAGGACACACCTTTGCATATAGTCCTTTCAGTAGGCACTTTACATGCATATGAAGACTCAGAAAGATGAATTAGTGAAAGAAAGTTGCGTCCTTGAAGCATGGACTGGAGTTGGCAACTCAGGTCTATTGAATAGAATAAAAAAGAAGTCACAATACATGACTTTGGAGATGAGGTTGTGGAAGGCACTGTGGCTTCCCTCGTTCTCTTTGGGGAGACCCAGCTACCCATGAAGCACACATGGGAAGCAGTTGCAGCGTCCTGCCAGCAGCCTTGCATGGGGGTCGTCTTGCGGGTGGATCCTTCAGCCCTGGTCAGGCTTTCAGGTGATGGAGTTATAGCTCAAATGTCTATATTCCTACATTCTTTTCTAGTTGGACTGTTCTTGTCATCTGAGAACTGTGAAAAGGTGAGATTAGTGAAGACAAAACCCTCAGTGGGCACCTCTGCAATCCTTCACTCCACCCTTCCCATGCACACTAAGGGCAAGCCACATGCAGACCAAGGCAGGAGCTGAAAGTAGAATTTTCTGTGAAACTGTTGTGGACAAGATGAAATTTTCAGGGTGATAGAACAAGAAGGAGCATCAGCCAGGGTTGGCGACTGCTGGTCCTGTACTGCAGAGCTTTCCTGTCCCTGGCCCCTGCGTGGGTCATGGGCCATACATTGTTGTCACTGTCACATGTCACGATGTTAAGAAGTTGGGGCTGAGCTTCATTGTACTGGTCTTTCCAGCCCCAACTTGCTGGAATCTGTCCTGGGTACTTGGTGTAGTCTCTCAACAGGCCTGCCACGGCATTTTCATTTTTCTTACTATTTCTGACCTCTAGCTTGTTTTGGTGATGTTACTAAGTTCCTTTATCAAGTTTGTGGAAGTCCGTTTCTGGAGATTCTCACTTTAAACTTTATTTTTATTTTGCAGTGCTGGGGAGTGAATCCAGGGCCTTGTGGATGGATGCCAGGCAAGTAAGTGGTCTGCCACTGAGCGACACACTCCTAGCCCTTATTTTTATTTTGGACATTTTGAAACATATAGAAAAGTAACAGTAATAAAGCTTCATGAATTATCAATTCTGCCAGTCTTAGGTGATCATATCCATGTAGTACTAGTTATCCCACATTCATAATTATTTTGATGTAAATTTCTGTCATCAAATATTTTTATCTTAAAATATGTCAAGTAATTATTGAAAAACACTAACCATGGTACATTATAAGTGTCACATGTTAGGGTTTGTGTCTAGTTGTCCCCCCAAAGCCTTGTACAATCATGGGGGTAGGCTTATTGGGTTGTGATTGATTTATGGTCGAATGCTGAGATTATAGGTGTGAGTGCTATACCGCCCTGAGGCAGGTGGCTTGCATACAACATAAGGGAGGTAAAGAGGCTTGCTCCTGCACCTCCCTTTTTGCTTTTGTTTATTTTGCTGTTTTCCGTAACCAAGAACTGTTGCCCTCTGCCATGTGCCACTCTGCCTTGGAGCGAGCTGAATATGGACTGAAACCTCCACAGAGCGTGTGTTAAATAAACTTTTCCTTAATTCTGGGTGTTCGGTATTTTGTCCCATCAATGAGAGAAAAGTAACTAAGACAATGCATAACTATTACATATATTGATTGTGGTATGATATCTAAAATAATAACTTCTTAGTATCATCAGATATCTATCAGCATTTCATTTCTCTCATTTTCTTCAATGTTTATCTCGTCACTGTTCTTTGGACTGGGTAATTTCTGTTGTTCTTTCTTCTACTGTCTCTAATATATGACTGAGCCCTTCTGGTAAAATTCTAATTTCAGTTGTTGTACTTTGGAACCCCCCAAATGTTTCCCCTCAAATGCATGCCCCCCAAATAGTTTCCATTTCTCTACTGTTTATCCATTTATGTCATTTTTTCCTTTAATTCTTTTACATCTTTCTCATGTCTTTTGGAAGTATTTTTCTGTTAAATCCAACATCTGATTTCAATCATGTTCATTTTTGCTGACTGTCTTGTTTTCTGTTTTGTTTCTGATGGCGGGTAGGGGACATATCTGATAATTCTTGATGGAATATTGGACATTATAAATAATACAGTGTGGACTCTGAATCCTGTTGTGTTTTTCTGAGGACCGCTGCCTTGTTCCAATAGGTAATTAAGTTGCCTGGATTCAATCTGGAAAGTTTTCCTTCCCTGTTTCCTCCCCTCACTGCTGCTTTTCAGCTTGGTCCCTGGGGGTCTTCCCTGAGCCATCTTAATTTAGTCATCAGCAAAGCACCTTTCTGTTGCTTCTTGATTCTGCAGGTTTCCACCTAATTTCTAGTTGCTGTGCAGGCTTCAGGATCTGTGCATGATATTTCATTCTTGTATGACTTAAGGTTTTGTCTCCCAACATGTGTGTATTTGGGCAATGCACTTAGAAGGAAAAAAAAGGACAAAAAGCAAACTCACAAATCTCACCTTCTGCACCTCTGGCAAGAGCAGATTCTTCCGTGGTCTCTGCTTCCTGTTCCACCAAGACCTTCAGGTTTCCCCTGCATGTGTGTGGGTTATCTGTCAGCCAGGGAATCAGGCAGAGTATATTCAGAATTCAGGTCTTTCTCCTTTGTAATTCTTCCCGTCACAGAATTTCCTATTAAGACTTCCATCTGCTTTCCCTGCTTGATACTAACTCTGATTGATGATATCTTGAGTTGGTCGGACTGTGCTTTCATTGCAGATTTTGGTGGCTGGTAAGCCACTGCCGCCCCAACTCCACAGCTACCTGTTGTGTTTTATATTAAACCTTCCTCCAATTTTTGACTGGTTCTGTACATTTTCAGTACCTTTAAGTACTCAATTCTATCTAATTTCTGAATGTGTTACATATGGGAGAATTTATGTGACCTCTTTGCCCGCCGTCTCACCTCATTCTCTGTCGTAGCATCGATACTTCTTCCTGCAATTGATTCTTAGGTTCATTGGTTTCTACTCTCTAGAAGATCTTTCTCCTTGATTTGTTTATATACCTGTGAGGAATCATTGTCATTATTATGAATTTCAGTCATCAAATCATCCCAGATTTTGGCAAAGGGGAACGCCCCTTCAAGCTAATTCCTGTTTCCTTCAGAAAATTTCCACCTGTTTTGAGCTTGTCTTTTTTTTTTTTTTGAGACAGGGTCTCGCTGTGTAGTTCAGGCTGGCCTGGACTCACCATGTAGCCCAAGCTGGCCTTGAACTTGCAGAAAGCCTCTTGCTTCAGTATCCCAAGTGGACTTTGTCTTTATATTCGGACAAAGTGCTCCAAGCTCCTTGTACTGGTCCAAGTGTCATTTCCCTAAGGAGCACTATTTTTTTGTGGGAGGGTTGAGAATAGTATGTAAGAACTAAGAAATGATCACTAGGTTTGCTTATCAGTACTGGGCTCTTCCAACATCTGGACTCATACATGTAATTATGAATTACATAGATAGAAAATGTAAAATGTTATATATGATATGTATTTACATACACAGAGATATATGTATACATGTATATATTATCTCTCATGGCATATTTTAATATGTTTTTCTGTCTCTTGCATTTTCCTTAAATTAGTATGTTGATCTAGAGTGTTGATCAGATTCAGATTGAATTTTTTAAAAAGGTGAACTATTTCCTATGTAAGATCTATTTTTTTTTTTTGGTACCGGGAATTGAACTTGGGACCTCATGCTTGCCAGGCAGGAGCTTATGCCACTGAGCTATATCCCCGGCTAAGATTTATTTTTCTGTCTTCTTTTTCTTTTGATGTTAGCAACCCTCAGTAATTATTGTTAGATACATTAATTCATCAGGGGTTGTGGCAGATAAAAATGGCCACAAACACTCTGACACTGAGGTGGAGAGAGCCATGTGAGTCCAGCCACCAACCTGACCCCACCAACGTATCAGGTAAGAGACTGAAGTCTTCTGTGCTCCCTGGACCAGCTCACCTGTCCACCACATGCCACTGAGTGAGCCCAGGCAGTGTCCAGAGGGCCGGGAGAATTACCTAGCTGCCCTGTCTTATTTCAGAAGCCACCAAATTGGGAGATATAATAAAATAGCTGTTGCTTCGAACCATTACATTTTTTTAAAGGATTGGGATGGAGGTAGTTTGTCACACAGAAGTAGATAACCAGAATGTGTTCCAATTGTATAATTTTTCTTCATTTGTTTATTGTAATACTTCTGTAAAACCTACCAACTATGTTGTTACTCTGAAGTGCCTTTGTTTTGTTGTTTAAAATCAATGGGTCTTGGAATGTGTCTCAGTGTTAGAGTGCTTACCTTGTAATTCTGAGACCCTGGGTTTGATCTCAGAATTTAAAAAAAAAAAAAATATATATATATATACACACACACATATATATATATATATATATACACACACACACACACACAGAGACATATACATAGGTGATTATATACAGTAAAATTCAACCTTTAAGGATACAGTTCTATGAATTTTGACAAGTGCGTAGTCATCTGCCCCTGCAATCAAAATATAGAATGTTTCAATTCCTCCCAAATCATTCCCCATTGCTCCTCTATAGACAACGGACCTCCCGGTCCCCCTGTCCCTGTTGAACGCTGATCTAGGCTGATCCCCATGACTTTACCTTTTCCAGTCACAGAATGAAATTACATAGCATGTAGACTTTTTATCTGGTTTCTTTTGCTCTGAATAATTCATTTGAGATTCAACTATGTTACTGAGTTTTTCAGTAATTAATATCTGGCTAGTAAGTACAATTCCATTGTATAGATGGATCATAGTTTATTTACTCACCAGGTTAGACACATTTAGGTTGTTTTCAGGTTTTTTAAATAATTATGAATAAAGTTATTATAAACACTGATGTGCAGATTTTTGTGTAGACTTAAGATTTTGTTCCTCTTGGATAAATATCTAGGATTGAATTTCTTGGGTCAGTATGTTTTCCCATATGGAAACTGCCAAAAGTTTTCTAAGTGAACCCATCGATTTTGCATCACCACTGGCACTGTAGGACAGTTCTGGCTTACCTGTGTTCTGTTTTGTTTTGTTTTTTTTTAACTTTGTTTTCTTTTTTTTTTTTGGTACTGGGAATTGAACTCATGACCTCAAGCTTGCCAGGCAGGTGCTTATGCCCCTGAGCTGCATCCCCAGCCTATGTTCTTGTCAGTCCTTGGTACTGTCAGTTTCTTGTCGTTTGAGTTTTGTTTGTTTGTCATTGTCTTGTTTACTTTTCTCTCATTGCTGGGACAAAATACCTCACGCCCAAAATTAAGGAAGGAAAGGTTTATTTCGCTTACAGTTTGTGGAGCTTTCAGTCCATACTTGGCAGGTTACAAGGCAGAGTGGCACATGGCAGAGGGCTACAGCTCATGGCAGCAGAACACAGCAAAAGCAACAAGCACTAAAAGGGAGGAATGGCGGCAAGTAGCCTCTTCCTCTCCCTTACACATGCAAACTATCCACCCCAGGGTGGGTGTAGCTCTCACACCCATAATCAATCAAACTCTAAAAGCCTGCCCCATGGCCCGCATGAGGCTTTGGGAGCACACCTAGACACAAACCCTAACAGTCATTTTGTTCATACTGTAACATTCATTTGCATTTCCTTAATGAGTAATGATGGTGAACGTCTTTCCGTGTGCGTACATATTTGCTGTTTATTTTTTGTAGTCAAATGTCTATTCACATATTTTGCCCATTTTTATATTAAGGTGCTTACTATTAAATTTAAAGTTTTAAAAATACATTACAAATGCCAGTCTTTTCCATATACACGTTTTACCAACATTTTCTCCAGTTCTGTGGTTTCCACTGTTCTTTTGCCATGACAGTGACTTTCAAAGAGAAATCTTGGTAAAGTCCAACATATCACCTTTTTTTTTCATGGATTTTTTTTGTTTTGTTTTGTTTGTTTGTTTTTTTTCCCCAGTACCGGGAACCGAACTCACGACCTTGCACTTGCCATGCAGGCGCTGTGCCGCTGAGCTAAATCTCCAGCCCCTTCATGGATTGTTTTTGGCATCATATCTTAGAAATGTTTGCCTAACTCAGGTTGTAAAACTACATTTCTCATCATATCTTCTACTTTTGTAGTTTGGGGTCTTATTGTTACATATATGGTAAGTTTTTTATTATGGTGTAAGATGTGGATCAAGTTTCATATTTCTTCATGTTGATGTCCGATTCATCATTTGTTGAGATGACAATCATTTCTTCATTGTCCTTATATCTGTGTAAAAAGTAAACTGGTCTTATGGGTGTAGATCTTTGAGCTCTTAATTCTAGTTCATGATTTTTACATCCATCCTTCCATCAGTAGCACACTGTTCTATTACTACGCCTTGAAAGTAACACTTGAAATCAAGTAGAGCCCTCCAAGTTTGTTCTATTTTAAGATTATTTTGGCACTTCTTTTTCTTTTCCTTTTATGTATAAATTTGAGAATCAGATTATTGATTTCTACAAAATTCCTTTTAGGATTTTAATTGGAATTTCATGGAGCACCTAGGTCAGTTTTTCTCTTCCAGTACTGGAGACTGAACCAAGAGCCTTGTTTATGCTAAGCAAGGACTCTACCATTTATTTATGGTCCCCAAACTGATAGGTCAATTTTGACGGAATTCGTATCTTAATAATATTAAGTCTTCGACCCATGAATACAGAATATTTCTCCACTTATTTCAGTCATATTTCTTTCATTACTGTTTGGTATGTTTCATCATGCTGATCTTCCACTTTAGATTTTAGTCAATGTATTTCATTTTCAGTGTTCTTGTAAATGGTACTTTAAATCTTTTCATTTTCTAGTCATTTGTTGCTAGTGAATAGAAATTCAATTAATTGAATTTACCTTGCATCCTGTGACCTTGCTGAATGCATTTACTGTACTAGTACTACAGACTTTCAGAAAATAGACTCTTCAGTATTTTCCTCATTGTGTTGTCTCTGAATCAAGAGTTTTGTTTATCACCAAACTACATTTATATATATAGCAGTATAATTTTTCATTATAAGTTACAATGCTTATTATTATTTATTGTTTTTGCTTTATTCCACTGCTAAGGTCTCCAGTATGATGTTGAACACAAGTGGTATGTAGTAAGAGTGAGCATCTTTGCAACGTGCCTTCTTTGTGATGCTGGGAGTTGGAACTAGGACCTCTTATGTGCTGACCCTGCACACTCCTGCTTACCTACATCCCCAGCCCCTTTACATTATTCTTAGGAGAAAGTTTTCAGTCTTTTACCACAAAATATGATCTTATTAACAGGATTTTCATAATTACCCTTTATCAGTTTGAGAGTTTCCCTTCCATTCCTGTTTTGTGGAGAGTTTTTATAATGAATTGAAGTTGAATTTTTAAAAAATTACCTTTTTTATTCTTCTGTTGAAATGTTCATCCCACCCCACTGCCCCTGGTTAATCAAATTACATTAATTGATTCTTCAGTGTTGAACCAATTTTGCATTCCAAGAACAACTTTCCAAATTTTGTCACGTTTTCTTCTATGTATTGCTGGATTTAGACTGTTAGTATTTTGCTGTGGATTTTTGTGTCTGTGTTTATGAGGGATAAGGATTTGAAGGATTTTTTTTTGTATGTTTATTTCTGGTTTGGATATTTGGGTTGGCCTCATAGAAATAGGTTGGGAAATATTTTGTTCTCTTCAATTTTCTGGAAGAATTTGTAAGAAATTATATGATTTCTTCCTAAATGTTTTGTAGAATTCACCACTGAAGCCATGTAGGCCTAGAGTTCTTTTGTTGGAAGATTTCACATGACAAATTCAATTTCTTAGAGAGATATATATGTGATTAGATTATCTATTTTCTCCTTACTGAGCCTTGGAAGTTTGTGTATTCTAATTCATGTAATGTCAATTGACAGTCAATATTTTGCTTAAAATATTTTCTTATACTTTCAGCATCTAAGATTTATAGTACATGATTTTTCATTCTTGATACTGGTAATCTGCATTTTCTCTTTTCTCGGTTAGCCAAGCTAGGGCTTTACACATTTTCTCTTTCTTTCCAAAGAACCAATTTTAGGTTTGATTGATTTTTCTCTACGTTTTTTATTTTTAATTTCATTGATTTCTGCTCCTTATTATTTGCTTCTATTTGCTTTTGAAAAATCTATCATTTCTTAAGGTGATAGCTAAGATAATTAATTTGATACCTTTCTAATATGCATATTTAATGTTATCAGTTTTCCTCTAAGCATTGCTTTTAATTGAATCCTACAGCTTAATAAGTTGTGTGTTCATTTCAGTGTAAATCAAAATATTTTAATTGTTCTTCTGTCTTTTTTTTTTCCTACAGGTTATTTAGAAATGTACTAATTTCTAAGTAGTTCAGGATATCCTAAATATCCTCTTATGGGATTCTAGTTTGATTCTTCCATGGTCAGAAAACATACATGACATGATAGAAAATATGGTGAATAGTTAAACTTTTAAACAGTACTGTAAAAGGCATATTGCCCCTAACCCCCTCCAAGTCTTCCCCCATACTGAAACACACTTACCCATCATCCTTGCCACCTTCTGAAGTGCTTCTAGGAGTTCCTCTTCCATGAATGTCTTTGTTGTGCTGCTGTGGCTGGCTCAAGTGTCCTGAATCCACTAAACACATTCACCTTTCGTGGTCATTCTAACCTTGGAGAAGAGCCAGAAGTCACATGTTACCAGATCTGCTACGTTACCATCATGTTTATACAAGTCTGCCTTTCCATCGGATGGCACTTGCCGGTAGCATGTGCCACATTTTTTATGCTACCTCAAAAAGATACTCATGCAAGAGGGCGTGCAGAACTGATCCAGAAAATGTCAAGAACTGTGGGATGAGTGTATTCAAAGTGGGAAAGGGGGTATTTTGAAAGAGATTAATGGCAATATGTCTTTTACCGTAAGACATTTTGAAAGGGTAAACGTTCACCATTTATTTTGATTGGCGCCTGTATTGTATGTGATTGCATTTCTTTAAAATTTGTTGGGGACCGCTGTATTTCCTAGAATGTAATTTGACTTGGTCTGTGTCCCATATGTACTTGAAAAAATGTGTACTTTGTGTTGTGTGTTTTATAATTACTACTTATGTTTGATGTAGAAAAGCCTTTTTAAAAAAATCTCCTTGGGGCAGCTGTTACTTCTTACCTTCTTGTAAAAGATTGGGAGATGTAGCAGACCAGTTAGCTGTCTGGGTTCACTGTCCATGGTGACCATTTTATGCCCAAGGTGAGAGAGGATTTTAAGGAAGGACTTTAAAGGAGAAAAATAGAGAAAAAATGTAAAATCTTATGGTATTTTCTTTCTTTCTTTTGTGGGGAGTGTGGAATAATGCATTTGCTCAATTGAAAGTATATGCCAGATTCCAGATACCATGTGGATTTTCTCCAGGAAGTTAGTATGAAAGTCAGGTTGGGATCCACAGTTGGTGAAACCACTTGATTCCATTGGTTTCTGATTTCTACAGAAATCCTCTGCAGTGGCTGAAAAGTAGATTCAGTGAGGATGTCATAGGAATCACCAAGCATATCCCTTCCAAGTATTTGATGTTCACAGTGATCTCTGTTTTCCTCTGAGAGGTAATATTTCTTTGACTGCTAAAGGAGGAGTTCTGGTATCCTTCTCTGGGTCCTGATGACCATAAGTGGCACTTAACCCATGCCTTAGCCTGTGAAGGGGTTGTGCCTGGTACCAGTAACATCATACATAAACTGAAAATAGCCTCAAGATGGGCTTGCCATTGTTGGCTTCAATCATAACTCCATCTCTGAATCTTTTCAGACCTCATTCTGTGGGGCAGACCATAGTGACAGTCAAGGTTCCTAAGATTCCAATAATTAGCAGTAACTTGGATCTAGTATCCAGTAGACTAAAGACTTAGGTATGTTCTTTATCTCAGGGCACATTTGGAGGGAGGTGAGGAAGAAGAGCAGCTCTTTGTCACTGTTTGTGTGGATCTCAAGGCTCCCTAGCATCTATTTTATTGTACAGACTCAGAATCTGTGAAGTAACTGAGCACAGGGAATTACATAAGAAGTCCTGACTTAGTTGTGTCTTGATTTTCTTATGCTAAAAACTAACTCCACTAGGCCTTGATTTGTATTTTATTTTTATATTTTATGGTCACCTACAAAAGGTGACCTGTCACTTTAATTCTGGAGAACAATCTAATTAATTAACTGCGGCCGAAGATCTTCCAGGCATTACACCATTTTGTGAAACCTAGTAACTATGCCTGCCTTGTTGCCCATCATGATAATTAGGCCCATTTTGCTTCTGGCAGGTAACGGGGGCCACCAGAACCAAGCCAGCCTGGACTGTTCACATCAGTGAGACCAGTGAGGTCTCTGTCTGCAGTATCCCTGGGATAGGAGAACAGCCAATAAAAGAACACCATCTCCCACCAATCTACTTCTCCAGGTACAGGTAAGCAGAGAGCCTGCTGGGACTGGTGGGAGACCCATCATGCGGGTAGGAGTTGAGTAAGTAGGAAACTCAGGACCGTTCTAGTGCAGCATTCCTGTCTCCGGGAGTCTTTGAATTCTTTCCTGTATCTTATGCCAAAGTGTTTCTGGCTTTGCCATGTCATTTTGCACAGAGCAGCATTCAGAACATGGGCCAAAACAGCAGACTGCTAAAGCAGCTGCCCACACCTCCTGAAAAAATGCTTCCAGATCAACAACTTCATCCCAGTGGGAAGCCAGCTCTACCTGTACGCCAAGGGCCCCCAGCTCCAATCACACAGATGCCCTCTGTGCCTGTGCAAGCTACCAATTCCTGCTGTTCTCTCCAGGCGTAATTCTTCATTCACCCACCCTGCTGATGGCTGTCATTCCCAGGACTTGTGGAATTTGGATTCTGGTCACCAGCCAAGCACAGATTGGGGTAGCAGGGCGTGAGAGAAGGGTTCACTTCCCTGAAGGGAAGGGACTGTGCCTTAGGGGAGAAGCACACAAGGAGTGTTTCAGAGTGGCGGGGCTGGAGGTCCTCAGAATATTTCTGGATGTTTTCATCTCATCAGGCTTGCCTTCTGCCTTAACCATGGCTCTCACTCTTGTTAAAGCAGACGGTGACTTCCACGGTTAACTCTGGAGCCACCTGAACCAGGCCAGCCTGGGCTCCTCACGTATCTGGTTGATCAGTTGTAGGGTGAGTCTCAGATGGGGTTGGTTATCTGCAGTCTTAGATCTGCTTATTACCAGTTACAGAGTTTTTGAAAACTTAGTTCCAGGAATGCTTTGAAATTGTGTTTTCTTCCTTGAGGCAGATATTTTGAAGTTTAGGCCATGAAATCTTTGGTTTTAAGTAAGGTACTAGTAACAGAAGGAAGCATTTTATTTCTGTTTCTCATCCCCTTTTAATAGGCCTCTGGATAAGGTTAAGGGAAAAGACAGGATTTATATGTAGTGTGCCACTTTTTAAAATTCAGATCCAGTTTGCATATCATACTTTATTTGGTCTTTCTGAGATAAGGTTTCACTACGCAGTTCAGGCTGGCCTTGAACTCACTTTGTAGCCCAGGCTGGCCTTGAACTCACAGTGATCCTCCTGCCTGAGCCTAACAAGTGGTAGGATTATGGGTGTGCGCCCCCATGCCCCGGCACATATCACACATTTTTAAAGCACACGGTTCAGTGGTTTTATTATATTCACAAGGTTGTACAACCATCACCATTATCTAGCTTTGAAACATTTGCATCTCTCAAAAACGGAATCTCATCAGCAGTCACTTCCCATTCCTCCCTCCTACCACTAATCTGCTTTGTGTCCCCGTGGCTTGGCCCATTCAGGGCATTTCATATAAAGGAAATTATACAATATGTTTCCTTTTGTACTTGGCTTTGTTCACCGAGTGTAATGTTTTCAGGGTTTTTTCATATTGTGATGAAAAATGCTATTTACTTTTATAGTTGACTGGTATTTAATTGCATGTATATGCCACACTTTACGTATGCATTCACCAGTTAATGGACATTTGAGTGGTTTCTACTTTTTAAGTATTACAAATTATATGAACATTAGTGTACAGAGTTCTGTATATTTTTTGTTTTCCTTTCTCCAGTGATATAAATGGTGGTGACAGTCTGGGTCATGTGCTAAGTGGCTACACCATTTCACATTCCCCCAGCAGTGCAGGAAGGTTCCAATTTCCCCATATCCTTGGCAACTTTTGTTATGTCCACCTTTGATTATAGCCGTGCTGGTAACACAAAGGGGAGTGTGCTGCCTTTTAGGTAAACATGAAGGGGAGAGAGGAAGTATCTATTTGTAATTCCTTATATGCACATGGAATAAGTTGAAAGATTATAGAAGCGACTGATGGCATTGGTTTCCTCCAGAGAAAGAAGCTGAGTAGTTGGTGGTAAGCACAGGAGAGAGATGCTACCCTGCTCTGCTTATTAAGTTTTAGACCATGTACAAGTATTACATTTACAAACGAATTAATACTAGCTTAAAATAAAAAGTACAGGGGCAACCCACTTTCCGGGCCCCCTTCTGTCCCTCTCAGACAGAAGCTTTATTTCTCTCAATAAATTCTTCCTCCTCTTAAAAAAAACCCAAAAAACAAAAAATCCAATTTCTTTAAGTATTGAATGTCTATCAAGTTTAAGTAGGAAGATTAAAACTAACCAAGTTAATGTTTTAACATCTTTACCTTTTTTCTTTCAGTAAGCAGTGTTTTAAATTATTTTTCTCCTTTACATGTACAAATAAATTGACATATATTAGTTGTACTTTTGCCTATATTTTTGCAAGCACACAATAGCCATGTGACCAGCACTCGCCTACTTATCAAGGCAGTTTCATTAAGCAGCTGGGAGTAAGATGCAATAGCTTTCTTGTCCCTCTTTCCATGTGTTTTCCCAGCTCAACACAAAGTTATTTTCAGTGGTTTCAATAAACTGAGGTTAGAGGAGCCTAAGATGAAATTACAGTCACCTACCTTCCCATTCTTCATGGGACCAGGTGAGGCAGATGGCTTGCTGCGCTGCTGTCTAGAGAAAAGGAAAAGAATTTCAGTGGGAACCACTTTGCCTAGAGACACACTGTGATGATTTAGACTTTGCTGTCAGGACATCGGCCTTATCAAGAAATATTATCAATAAAAATCTTCAAACTTACAATTATACATTATGTGAAAATAGGCATTTCCATATATTCCTCTGCATCCCTTTTTAAAAGACATCTAACAAAAATCTTCATACATAATGTCAAGTTCATATATATTTTTAAAAATAATTTGGATTCTTAAAAATCTTTCTGACTTCAGGCACTGAATAACTGGTCACTGTGTCATTGAGGACTAAGTGTATCCATGCCGTATCTGTTGTCATCTGTGATGAATACATGGCCGTTTAATTTATTTTTTATTTTCTTATTCTGGTCTCCATTTCACTAAGGTTTTTTTTGTGTTGTTTTGTTTTCTGGTACCGAGAATCGAACTCACAATCTTGCACTTGCCAGGCAGGCGCTGTGCCACTGAGCTAAATCCCCAGTCCCATGGTCTCCATTTCATATTCTCAGTTTTGAGTATTCTTTTTTTTTTTTTGGTTTTTCTCCGGACCCGGGAACCGAACTCACGACCTTGTGCTTGCCAGGCAGGCGCTTTGCCACTGAGCTAAATCCCCAGCCCCTAGTTTTGAGTATTCTTTCTTGTTCTTGTCTATCATTTTTATATTTAAGCTACATGATTGTATTTATGTAACCTGAAAGTGGTCTGAAATATCTTGTGAATTAAGTCAAAGAATAAATAAGCAAGTAGATCCATAGGTTTGCAACAATTTATGAGCAACAATTTATGAGCAATTTTGACCAACTTATTTTAAAAATAAATACTTGAAAAAATTGAAATACTAGATGCTGATACATAGTTTTGAGAATTAAAATGATTTTGAATACTGTAAAAATAAAAATAAAAAGTACACTTGTTGATGTATAAACTGGTTCGGCTAACTATAGCCTGTAGACTAAATCTGGCCTGCCACCTGTTTCTGGATAGCCTCTGAACTAAGAGTAGTTTTTACATTTTTAAATGATTAAAAAATAAAAAGAATATTTGTAGTACATGAAGTGCGTATACATATATAAAACTCAGATTTCTGTACCCATAAATAAACTTTGATTGGCATACAGCATCCTCACTTGTTTACATGCATTCTATGGTTGCTTTGTGCTGTGTACAATGGCAAAGGTAAGGAAGCACAGCAGGGACTGCAGGTGGCAGAATGATTGCTTTAAACTGGTACTTGATACAATGGAAATCACACCTACTCAGTTATAATCTGACATCATTTTTAGTGCCACCCAGGTCACCACATTGCAACTTAAAAAAAAATAAAGATTATGAGTACATATCATTTATGTTAAAATAAGGAAAGACGAAAGTGGACTTTGAGTGTCATGCTTATAAGGTGGTGAGTGCGAATTATTTTATTACCAATTTATGTGACAGAACTGTGCCTATTGTGCAGTGTTATAATAGGTATGTTAAGAGGATATAAGATACACCAACACTACAGATCATATCATAGCAGAATTTCTTACAAAAACTAAAGATGGCATAGAATCGCCTACCAAAGTAGGTTATGAGGTGGTTCACTGGCTACCCAAAAAGAAAGCTGTTCATAAATGACTTGGTGAGGTGATATATGATTGCAACAGCTAGATGAATGTGTACAGAAAATTAATGTGTTTATGAATGCTAGCCTTGCATTGAGAATAGTGACCTGAAGAATTTAGGACATTGGGAGTCATTTAAAAAAAAAAAAAAAAAAGACCAATGTTGATGTTCAGTTGTTCATTTGAGAAGTTAATCCCTGATTCTGAAGTCTAGGCTAAGAGCTGGGTATGGTGGAGCGTACCTATAATCCCAACTACTCAGGAGGCTAAGGTTAGGAGGATTGAAAGTTTGAGACGAGCCTGAACAACTTTGCAAGATCCTGGAGAGGGACAGAGATCATATCATGGCAGGATTTCTCATAAAAACTCAAGATGACATAGAATCTCCTACCAAAATAGGTTATGAGGTGGTGAGGAAGGGAGAGAGAAAGAGAAGGTAGAGGAGAGAGAGGGTGGAGAGAGAGAGAAGGCGGAGAGGGGGGTGGCTGGGATGTAGCGCAGTGGCAGAGCACTTGCAAGGGAGGTCTGGGTCCAGTCCTCAGTACTGCCCCCCTCAAGTCCAGGCTAAAGAATTGGCCTCTATTAATAGTCTGCATGGAGTAACTACAGGTGAGACTATTTTCAAAGAAACTGAAGAACTGGGTAGAGTGGTCCATCTGTAGTTCTAGTGCTCAGGATACTGAGACAGGAGGATTGACTGAGCCCAAGAGTTCAAGACCAGCCTGGGCAATACAGTAAAAGTCCATCTCAAAAACAAAACAAAACAAAACAAGACAAAGCAAAGCAAAACACACTGAAAAGTCATT